GATATTATTTAATCGCCGACGTATTCATTACGGCACGTAACGGTCATTACGGATCCGGTGTGAACCACGCATTAGTTATGCTGTACGGCATTGCTCGGACTTCATTGATAATGTAGGATCATGGGCAACCGTCTCTTACCTACAACCGCTGGTAAAAGAGAACTACAAACTTTTCTCAGTTAGCTCAATTTCCTGCTTCTCACAGTGAAGTCCGAAGTGGGCGTGTCACATGCATATACAGCACCTGAGGGTGTCAGAGGGGACACCCGACACCCACCCGTTATGTGGGCGTCGGCTTCAGCCTGACTTCCGGCTCACAACAGAGCGCGGATCACTGGTGACTAATCATGTGTCAGCAAGTAACAACACAATGAGGTCAGAATGGTCGAATGCTTGGTATATTATATCATGGCAACATTATGGAAATGACTTATACCTAGTGTCAATCAGCAACCTAATCTGAATAGATCATGGATGACTGCTAGCAGCCGGGATTCGGATTGTATAGCTGGGAAGATATAGGGGAGAGGATAGCCGGGAAGGAGCTAAGAAGCTTGCTTTTCTCGCATTTTACACTTGTCCCCAAGCCCCAGCGTTATCAATGAAAATCACTCAGACAAAAACATATGCCTGAAGATAAAAGGATAAAAATCGCTTGTTCGACGTTTTGCTGATTCTGTTCATTCGACGTTGAGCGAATTCTGTTCAAAGTATTTCATCAAGCACTGCAATAACTGCAGTCTGCACTGACTGTTATTCCAGGTATTCATCACGGTCAAACGGTGCAGCGGACTATTATCATCACCTGACACGAACTGAGCGCTCCTTATCTCTCCATCAGGGTGCCTTGACGCGGCCTGAGTTCGTCCTTTGTCCGGGGGCCCCAGCTATCCCGGAATGTCGTCCGCTCACGGAGCGCCCGACTCCCATAGCGAGCCATCGTGGCGTGCAGGTCAGATCGGACTGCTATCAGCGCCCGGCCTATCCCAGTTCGTGACCTAACGCTACAGTGAGGCTCACGTCTGTTCAGGGAGCGATTCTGATGCAACTGAGACCGCTGAACTCACCAGGCCACTGTCCGACATTTTGTGGAACTGTGCTACATACATCGGCGTTACGTGTAATGTTGAGCCCACGTGTAATGAAGCTGTAAATTCGATCCGGTTAGATGAATTATCCTCAACATTTGCGAAACATCGAACCAATCGAACTGCAGGGGAGGGGAGCCTGTCCGTCAGTCCACGGGATAGGGAGGAAAATCGGCACCTCCTTTCCTCCCGGGCCGTGACCTCGTAAAGTGGAGAACAATCCGGTCCAAAGCGGTGAGAACTCTGAGCAGTCTGTCTACCATCCCCCTCGCCGACAGGGAACTGTATCTCAGGGCTGAGAGTGCCCTAGAACAATGAACGGTCTGCTCCGCATTTCAAGGGTGACGCTCGTACATACGTGTGGGGTTCATCTAGTGAAAGGTCACAGATAGACTCAGTCCATCGGCAAAATCAGTTCATGCATCTGTTGTGCACAAAGTTATGGCATAACATTACAGTAGACGTGAAATTTGACATGCAGCAAAAACGTTTTTTTATGACAGTCAACCATGACATCCTAAGATGTTGCGTGAAATTTGTGACAAGCTTGTTTGCATTAAGCCAATGATGCAACTCACGAGCGTATGTGCAGAGGTGCAATAATTTAGGCAATAAAAACATATTTTAATTAATTTGGTGTATGGGAAAATGTTTCACAAGACAAGCATGCTTGAAGGATAGGCTGCCTGCATGTCCTCTGACGGGGCAATTTGATATCTATCCAGCTTACATTGAATCAATAGTGCTTTAAAAACAACGCCTTATGCACTTGTGATCTGAATAGATGCGTGGCGATGAGATAAGCGTCCAGTCCACATTCATTTCCATTTTCAATGTATTCCGGAGTTGTGTCACCGTCTAACTCTCGAGTTATTCCTGTCCTGCGCTGAAATGGCGTCACCTCCATATACGGGTGTGTCCGCAGTGTTTGGTCCTTGATTACCTCCGTGTCCCGTTGGAGCACGGTTCCGACCGTACAATACCGTAGTCACGGTTCCATCTGACGGGCCACAGAGCTGGCGCCTGGTGCCGGGGCAATTCACCGTTCGTAGCTATTGTGCTATCTGCCGAGCACCGGGAGAAAAACTCGATCATTTACAAGTGGTATGATATAAATAATGAATGATTTAAAACGAAGGTATTTTTTTAGATGAAACTGGACTTCTTGCCTTCCACACAGAGCACTTTCTTCAATCGACCATCACAGCGTATGTGTCTCAAAATCATCGGCACGATTATCTCATCTTAGCCTCAAGTTATATTCACAGCTAGACTACATGTCGAATGAAGCTCCAAACAGCCCACAAATTCCCAGTTTTTGCACAGCTGCACCGTTGTTGCCATTTGCTCTCAACCCCGTTGGAAACTATTTACTCTCCGCTGGTCCAAACTCCTACAGCCGCATCTCACCGCTGTAATTTCATTATCACTCCTGATGATCGTCACTGATAAGCGCCTCTTCACACCCAGAGCATGTTTCCGCCGTCATCTGGGAAATCTGCTAAAATAACGGCGCCAAAGGAGCGGCCTTGGCGTACACATCAGTCTAGAATCGGCTGATAACATCCGGTATTAAATGTGTTCTTTTTAGTGAGGATCAGTGGGAGTGGTTATTTTACGCCAAAATGTGCGAATAATTTTCGTTAGAAAATTACTTGGCAGAATAAATGATCGTTTTGGAGCTTGTGTGTTAATCCAACCCAAAGAGCAATTTATCGTACAGTTGGAATAATTATACTAGATGAAAGGAATTATAATTTTGATAAAAAAATGAGCTACACAACTCATCGTTTTATTTATTGCTTGTATCACAAACGTTTTCATCACCCGAACCCTTAGCAAACAGACCTTACTGATCGTTCAATGAAGCCGATCTCTCTGACAGGCCCTAGTTCCGGCTATATTTCTGAGTCACCATGGTGAACCCTGACAGACCCTCCTTGACTTCATTACTCGACAGGAAACCCGCTCAGGTGTGTTCCGGGATTGATACTCAGATTTATCCCGAGTCGCTGAGTCACTTCCGTCACCTGACAGATATTTTCCCGACTGGTCAGCGCACAGCAATGCCGTGCTTTGCGCAGTCTGCCACGTCAAACCAGTAACAATTTGACACGGTAATGGGTTTGACAAGCAAACAGCTTACTTAACCTTATGCTTACTTCATACAAATTATTTACGCTTATTGTTTATGATAAAGCATTCTGAATGAAGAACGTGGACTGGGAGGACATATCCGCTGCGTAAGCATATTGCAAACCATGCCATTGCAAGTTATTGAGCGTAAGGTTCGGCATTCTTATTTTTAGCGTCACTGCAATGAGATGACTTTAACGACCAATTGCTATTCACATTGTGCACATTGTGCACAGTGTGCGCAGTGTGCACCACAAAACCACGCATGATTCTTTTCAATATATCCCATGTAGCTGACCTCATCTGTTATACTCAGCCATGTGACCGATCCCACGCTCGCAGCAGCCAGGTCCGGTCGAGTCAGGCAGCTCCTGTTCCAACTAACGGACAGACAGGGGTGTTTCTGCTGTTCGAAAAGCGTTCCAAGGTGAACGGCCGATGCTAACGTCACGAACGAACGACTCGTTGGCGACGAAAACGCCGGTTAAAACGGCACCTTGATCACGTTGTGGTGTTTGTACACAAATCAGACATAGAAGAGCAGAAGTCCGGACACAGAACGACCGAGTTGTGCTTCATCATTCATAGAACTGTCACACCAACTGAGAATGTAGGCGTGACGATGGGCAAACGTGCTGAGGGAACGCCCCGTTACCAAATGCCTAACGGCAGTGAAATATTTTTAGAACGGTTTAAGAAGTTGTTAGGTCCCTGTGAATCCTTCCATTCAAAAGCTTCGAACCAAAATTCATTAAAAAAATAAAAAGTTCTTAACACAATTCTTAGCACGATAAAAGACGTGCGTCATACGTTTCTGCGATATTTTTGGCATGAACTTAAGCATATATTGACCTTAAGAGGCGATTCTCAAAAGTCAAAGCTAAGTTGGAACTCTGACGTTGCATCATAACTTTGTGCTGCTTTGCTCTATGCGTATGTAGGCTAAAAACTACAAAACCATGTAGATTCACAGCGAATGTTTCAGTGAAAGTATTGCCTCCGTTTGCCTCCTGTGGCTACCGTAAACGTCACCATTTGGTATTTGCGGAAGTGTCCTCATTTCACGTAATCTATTACTCGATCAGACTCACTTACATAACACTTACGATGTGGCGCTACCTGCATTGTTGACCAGATTTAGCTGTCGTCTACCACTGTTTTCCTGTGGCTTCAATGAGGCGAAAGTGCCCTCATTTAAAGTGGTCGACTTTTCAGGCGTTAGAAATCAGATCAATTGCGATCTATTTTGTGAAAGTGAGGGTCAATTTAGTTCGGACTCTGCAACTATGCGATGTACTTGAGATTCATCGACCTAAGCCGGATAAATTGCGAATAAAAACGCCACATACATGGAAAATACAGAACATGCGCGAATCCGGCCTGCTTCAAATGCCGCCATGCAATGTTCCCATGACAGTTATTCGCGCAACAATCACAGGAAGCATTCCTGTGCATACCGATCATTCGCCTGCACCAACGTTTTTCTAAATTAACCCCATCTTGATAGAAAGAACTGCAGAGTCGGCCCCGCCCTCCGCCGCCCCCCGCCGGCCCGCGGCGGGCAGGTGCGGCGCTCGCTGCAGGAAAGACGGCCGGCCCGGCCCGCCGTGCTCCCAACAACGTTCTCACAGTCTAGTCAGCACCGCCGCAGATAGGGATTTTTACCGCCACCGGGGGGGGGGGGGGGCTGCGGACCGGCTCCGGTCCCGGGCGCAGGTTTCTGCGCAGGTCCCCCCTCCCGGCGGCTCTGGAAATGGCGCTTGTATAAAGGAGTGTCGGCAGTGGGACCTGGGTCATTCGTTGAAACGTGTTCGACTCGGACAGATTGATTACGGACAGGATGGCAATTAAGGTGAGAAATTCAGCGGCGAGATATATACCCTATCGAAGAACAGTGATGCCAGTGAATAATTAAATTCGTGAAACTTCGATGTTCTAAGGATTGTCGAAAATTTCGAAAACAATTTAGACGTGATTTTGTTGGAAAAAAACAATGAGTAGCTCGATGATTGGTGACTTTTGGCATCTTCTTCGAGTTTATACGATTAGAAAATAATTTTTGTTTGCAATCTTTAATTTTCGTTGAATTTCCGTTCATGTAATTATTTAATATAATATTATCTGTTAAAGGATTCATGTCATCTGTAAAAAATAGCTTCGACATGTAAATATCTTGAACAGAATCAAGATAATCTTGTTTGTTATAATGCAGGCCAGTTCTTCAATCGTTCCGTTTCTCCCTCCGCAGATTGTTCTCGTTGCGGCGCTGGTGGCTGCTGTGGCGGCCCAGAAGACGCCCCGCGGCGACCCCGGCGCCGGTGCCGGCGGACCAGGCGGACCAGGCGGACCACCCGGCAGCCACGGAGGACCGCCGGGCAGCCACGGAGGACCGCCGGGCAGCCACGGAGGACCACCGGGCGGTCCCGCCGCCACCGGCACCCCGCCCCAGCTCGGCGAGGACCTCGGCAACGGAAACTTCCTCGTGTCCAAGTTCTCGTTCGGCCGCGCCAAGCCGTTCACCAACCCGCGCTTCCGCGAGGGCGGCGCCGCGGAGAGGCGCGACCCGCAGCACCTGCCACCGGACGCGCTGGCCAGCCTGACGTCGCCGCGCGACTCGGAGCGCAGCGGCAGCAGCAGCAGCTCGCGGCGCGGCTCCTCGAGCGCCCGGCCGGCCGGCCCGACCGCCTCGGACGGTACTTTTGGCACCAACGGGGCCGGCCTGGCGCCGCGGGGCAGTCAGAGGGGTCAGCCCGGGCCGGCCGGCGGCTTCGGGCAGGGCCAGTTCGGACAGGGACAGTTCGGACAGGGACAGTTCGGACAGGGGGCCTTCCAGGGAGCCGCCGGCGGCTTCCCCTCGGCCCCGACGGCGTTCGCCGGGCAGGGATTCCCGGCGGGAGCGCAGGGATTCGCCGGACAGCAGTTCGCCCCCGCCGACCAGTTCGGTCAGCAGGCGTTCCTGCCGCAGCAGCAGTTCGGCGGTCAGCAGGCCTTCCTTCCCCAACAGCAGTTCGGCGGTCAGCAGGCTTTCCTCCCCCAGCAGCAGTTTGCTGGCCAGCAGGCATTCGCTCCTCAGCAGCAGTTTATCGGCCAGCCCGATCCTTTCGGTCAGCAGTCGTTCCCGGGCGCTGGCCAGCAGTTCGTCGGACAGCCCGATCCGTTCGCCCAGCCGGCTCTAGGCGGCCAGCAGTTCGCTCCGGCGGGCCAGCAGTTCGCTCCAGCAGGCCAGCAGTTCGCCCCCGGTGGCCAGCAGTTCGTCCAGGCTGACCCGTTCGGCCAGCAGAGTTTCGCGGGGCAGCCGGCGTTCCCGGCCCAGCAGGGATTCGGCGCGCAGCAGGGTTTCGCCGGCCAGTTCCCCACCGCTGGCGGTCAGCAGTTCGGACAGCCGGCGGCCGGCCGGACGGCGTTTGACGCCAGCGCCTCGGCGCCCTTCGGGAGCACGGCGTTCGCGGCGGAGCCGAGCGGCTTCGGCGGAGCGAGGGGGAGTTTCGGGCAGACGCGCGGGGCGACTCGGTTCCAGTAGGGAGTGAGGCGGACGAGTGAGGGGTCTTTCACTCCAGAGTGGCGACTGCGCGCTGTCTGTATGTCTGTCTGCGCTCCCTGTGTGTCTGTCTGTGTGTGGTTGTATGTCCGGCTGCCTGTCACCGGGCGCTGAGAGCAAGTCATGTGTTCAAGTCGGGTCTCATTGTTTTTTCACATGCAGTGTCCATGTTTGTCCCCATTATGAACAGTTGCTTATGTAAGTCATGAAGCTGCCATTGAGATAAATATTTATAAACGATGGTAAGTATGCTAAGAATGATGAATGAAAATGAATATTATGAAGGTGGAACTATTGAGGATGATGCAGCACACACTAGTGCTAAAATACATGCATTTGTAATGTGCATTTATGAATATACTGACACATTGAACAGCCATTGTTTATCAAAGCGTTATGTGCTGTTTGCGGAGGTTTAGCGCACCGATGCAATAATGATTAGGTAGCAGGGCTGGAAACAGGGAAGAATTGGCGCTTTTTGAGTTTCAATAAACACCTGTGTTTTTACGAAATTAACTGAATAGAAATCAGTGAAACATCTATATTACTATTTGAGGAGGGTGCGTCTGTCCGTTACCGAGGTCCCGACTTGGTCGTGCTTTGCGTGGACTACAGGCCAGACCGTTGCACCTAGCCCGGTGAAATTTGCACAAATCATAGATCAAGGATGCGCGACGTGCCTTTGAGGGGTCTGACCTCGATCGGGTCGATAGGGAGCGCGTGGCGCGTGCTCAAAAAGTGCAAATTCGCGTCATAGACTTTACATGTATAAATCGGCGTGCGAAATCGGGCGAAAACGGCTAATTTTGGCCGACACGGGTCCAGTTCCCGTGCAATATCTTGGTGACCAGGGGTCCGACCGGCACGGGGAAAACAGCATCGTGTAGATAATTGAATGGGCAATGGAATCGTGTGCGATACAGAGGATAGCACGCGCCACGTGCACCGGGGAGGGCACTTTTGTTGAAAAATTGCTGTTTTTGGCGGATTTTGGAATTGATTTTATTTTTAGGTGACCGTTAAACAGGGCGAGTTGGAACAACGCCTGTTGGCAAGAGAAATGTACCGCCTATCATATAAAAATTGTGAAAAGCTGATTGATCCAAATCAAGGTGGTACAAATAACGGGAGAAAATGATGTTTGTCAATTTTGTGTCACTTTGTTCATCAAAATGGCTTTGCTCCATGATCTGATGTATCTGGCAATTAAAAATGGCACCGTTGGAAAGCGCATTCAATTCTGACCAAGGTTCAGTCTTCATTTTTGCATGATGAGCAACAGTATTTTTAAAAATGTAAATTTTCCAAACCATTGCATCGTCATTTTTAGCGAAATCCATCGATGGCCCTCAAAAGACTTCACGCCAGTTTCCGAATCATTCTAAAGTAGGTAGAACGCATGATAATACGACACGGGCACCTCGGTGTGATGTATCTTTTTTATTACAAAATGCTTGGCCGTCAAAAAGCAATCGAACGAAATGGATAGGTACCAGCGAAATCGACACAGACCAACCCAATACCCACGGGTAAAAATAACCCTTCTTTGCGTTGCGGAGCACGCGGGTAACCCTAGTGCACAACTATATGGCTCTTATTACGGAGCGAGCGAAGCGAGCGGAGTCTTACGTAGAATAACGGAAATTTCTGAGTATGAGCGGCCGGCCGGCCGTGCGGACGCTTTTGCGAGGCTTATATCTCAGCAACCACTTGACCGATTTACATGCGGTAATTTTTGTAGGGTAGCTTCATTCCTTCTACCAAGTATTGGACTATTCCTGATGCATGTGGGTGACCCCTTATGCACGTGCCACGTGCAAAACGAAGAGGTGTCACTTTTGTAATTGTTGCAATATCTCGGTAACTACTTGGCCGATTGCGCTGAAAGTTGGCATGTAGGTAGGCACCCACTAGGCACTGCATATCCATGTGCCAGAGTTGGGGTGCTGCTGCACGTGCGCACGTGCAGGGGTCGTTTCCAGATCTCGAGAACGGCTGGACCGATGGCGCTCAAATTTGGTACACAGTTAGGGACCAGTTAGTAGGGTGCCGTGCAAAAGTCAGTTGGGACCCATTTTGCACGTGCGCACGTGCAGGGTGCCGCTCCCAGATCTCGAGAACGGCTGGGCCGATTGTGCTCAAATTTGGCACATTGCTAGAAACCGGTCAGTAGGGTGCCGTGCACAAGTCAGTTGGAGGTACCCCCTCGAAATTTCGCACGTGCAAGACTCACCCCCTCGCTCGCTCCGTTAGTCGCCCCAAAAGGCGCTATACTGGTTACGTACTTACTGTTGATCTTTTTGCTTAACGTTGGCCTATATATAAACACTAAAAATGCCGGACTAATGACGTGTCTTTAGCGTAATCCAACGCACCTGTGGTTACTAGACGGTTCTCATAATTATTAGCACGACGCAAAAGCTCGTCAAAAATACTGCAGGAATAGTTATTCCTCAGATGTAGCGAATGAGTCACTAGGAAACCGCACATTCCGATCTCATGAGCGGCGGACCAAACAGGTAAAGCCACGTAGCATATTATCTGTTTTCCGCCGCCAGATTTTCCTATTTTTATCCTTATCGAAAAACCGCACTTAAGACATGCTCGGCTATGCACTGATAAGCACTAATGTTTCCTCCTTCATCTCAATGTTTCCAGGCGCGCGCTGTGTAGATTTGTGGTGCACACTTCCTGTCGGCAAAATAAAAACAAAATATTTAACATATAGAGTTAGCACTTGGCAGTTATCAGTCTGAAGAAATAATGTGCCGAGATATATCTTTATAATGCACAGCAAAGACTGATTCTTCTACGACTTTTCAGCATCAACAATTCTGCCTGAAACATTATCTGGGGCAATCAAAACGTCACATTCATCCAGCATTCATCAAAACAATAATTAATCTAAGCGAGTCGCTGGCTAAGCTGTTCAAAAGTACCCCTTCCACCTCTGGTCCCTAAACCCCGTATCTCCCGGATGGGGATACAGGGGGAGGAAAGTCGTGTCCGTCTGTGACGCCGCACACTGGTACGGGCCGGCACGGAAAGGGGCGGCCACGCCCTGACTGGACCACACGGCACCGCCTTTGTCTGAACAAACGGCAGTGCACGTGCTGGGGTGTAACGCACCGCGAGGGGTGGGCTGCTTCTTGAGACTGTGCGGTGTTGTCAGACGCTGTACGATGCAGTGCTAGTGGGCTGTTTTACGCATCGCGATGCATTCTAGTGCAGTGTGCGGCCTCTGGGCTGTTTTCAATAACTGACGCACACGTTTGGTCACATTCCTTCTCGCACGCAATGCGAATATGAAAAATAAGGAAAAGTGCCACCGTATTTAGGTCACTTCCAAGTCATTCCTCCAAATTTGATTCAGCCTTGTGATGTCGGAATTAATGACCGCTTCCAGACGCAAAACTGTTTTCGGCATTTGCGCTAGAGAAAGCTAGCAAAATTGAATCAGTGATGTGATGAGCTTATAACGATTCTTATTATGGCACATTGGAATCAACAATGAATGCTGGATTAGAAACGGAACGTGCAGCCAGTCTTATCCCCGTTGCAGGACTAACAGTTTTGTGAAAAAGTCCATGCAACCTGTGACGCAAATATCTTAAACAAAAAAATATGTCAGCTTGCAGCGCATATATATTTAACATGGTCACCGAGACAATTTGGAAACAGCGCCGGCAATTTGTATATTTTTCGAATAGCATCTCGTTAAAAAAAAAAAAACAATGCGACACACCCACCCAGCGGTACTGGCACATTGCAAATGGACAAATAATTCATTCATAAATGACTTCATATCAAAAATACAATTGGCAAACCTATTTTGCATAATATCGCAAACCTGACGTCACACTATGCGACGTCACACTATGCGACGTCACACTATGCCGTAACATGCCATCACAAGGCCGCTCCTGTGGCGTTGAGTGTGCCATTCACAGCCAGAATTGCCTCCAGCGGGCTCGAAACAGCGTTATACACAACCAGATTCAGCAGGAACGCGCCGAAAATCACAAAGCACCACCAGGCGACGTTCTTCAGATCCGCGATAAAGTCGCTGGGGTACGCGAACAGCCCAGCGTCGTTGTTCGGCTGGGGACCGAAGGGTGTGTCGTATCTCCTGTCGGCGGTCGGGCCCTGCCCCGGGGGTGGTGGTCTGCGCTGGTAAGGCTCCGCTGGTCTGCGCTGGTAAGGCTCCGATGGTTTCCGCTGGTAGGGCTCACTCGATGCTGGTCTTAAGTGCTGGTCAACATCCGGTCGGTTAGGATCGGCTGATCCCTGCCGATACTGCCGGACCCTCTCCGGGTGAGTTCGCTCAGCTGACTCCGGCTCGTCTGGCTGAAGTTCTCCCTGGCGGTACTCCCTGGTGTCTGGCTGAGGGTGAGGATTGCCCCACTCGGGATGGCTCGGCCCAGCCTCTCCCTGGCGGTACTCCCGACTCGGCGGGTGCGGATCGTGCCACTCCGGCCGGTGAGGATTCGCCGTCTCTTCTCTGTACGGCCGCTGGGACTCGGGCCAGTGCTGCTCCGGTCGGGGTCGGTAGCGCTGGTTCGGTCCCGGTCGATGATACTGGCTCGGTGCCGGTCGATACATGGCAGCAGGATCAGGTCGGAACATATCAGGCTCCCGCTGGCCCATGTCGTCAGAGTCCGACCCCTGGTGCACCCCGGTGAACGAATCCAGCACGTTCGTCAGCGTGCCTAGCCATCCCTCGCCCTCCTCCTCTTCAGGAGGCAGGAAGTTGGGACGTCTCTGCTCAGACTCGCTGCGCACGGTCATCGCTGGCCCGTAGTTTGTCCCGACTGGCTGCCGTCGGATCTTCTCGTACCAGTCCTCGTCACTGGGCCCCGGTCGGTACTGGTTCCCCGTCCCGTAGCTAGCTCCTGGCTGGATCCACCCACCGGTTCCTGGCTGGTTCCACCCACCGGTTCCTGGCCGGTCCCACCCGCTGGTTCCCTGCTGGTTACCGTACGCGGCGAACTGTTTGTACGGCCGGCCGGTTCCCAGCTGGTTGTAAGTCTGCTCAGCCTCTGGGTGCGGATGTCCCGGCGCTGGGCCCGCACCGTAGTACTGCTGTTGCTGACCGACTCCTGGTCCGTAGTGTTGACCCGACTCCGGCCAGACGACAGGCTCGGGAACTGCCTGCGGTTTGAACTTCTGCTCAACTCCAGGCTGAAGAACTGGCTGCGACTCATGATGTTGCTGTCCTGCTCCTTGATTGGGATGTTTGGTGGGCGGATTGCCCGTTTCTGGAGCGGACTGAGAGTCGTCTGCGGGCTGGTGGTTGTCCAGACTGCCAGTCGCTGCACCAGGTTGATGGTTGTCCAGACTGCCAGCGGCTGGAACAGGCTGATGGTTGTCTAGACTGCCAGTCGCTGCACCAAGCTGGTGATTATCTAGACTCCCGGTAGTTGGACCAGACTGATGGTTGTCCAGACTGCCTCCGCTCGTCCAGACTGCCTTTGGCTCGCGCGGTTTATCAACTGCGGGCTGGTGGTCATCCAGCAGTCCCCCATCCGTTGTGTCGGCGCCGGTCAGATTTTCGGCGGATGCCAGCGCAGAGACGAGAATCAGAGTCTGAAACGGGGAAAAACACCGAGCGGTCAGCGCCGAGACGTCGCAATAGCTGGACGACATAGCTGCTCATCAATGGCACGGCGTTTGCTACGGTCAGTTTTTCAAGCTACACAGGTACACGATTTAACGAATAAAAGTGCAATAAGAATTGATAAGTACTAAAATTTGTCCTTGGAGAAACATCAAAAAATATTTTATACTACTGGCCACTGGGCATTTTGTCCACTCTTCATCTTTCATGTCAATATAACCTAGGTTCACCTCAAGTTCATTAATTTATGCCTCAGTGTAAAAACTCGCCCCTTTTTCATACCCGTTTTCAATGCCCTTGTGAATGTGTTGAATGCTCCGGCACTGCTCGTAAAAACGTCAGATACCTATCACACAATATCATCGCATCGCTGGGAAGCACGAACATAACTCCTAATCGGTAGTTTTCAAAAAAAGTTATATTCTACTTAACTAAAAAGTATTGTTACAGATACCGGTTGAGAGAAGTGCCTGTGTATAGGTATTTCTCTCGCGGACGGCTAACTAATCATGCAGGAAAGACTATTGGGATTGAAGGGGTGATGGCTTGGGGGTGGTGTGTGTAGTGAGATATGGCCGAGAAGAAAAATGGGCATGATTTGTGTAGATTAGCGTGTCGCTATTTTTAATTGCCGGTACAGTCTTTTGTTCATTGTGCAATAAACATTCACTTAATTGTAACAGTATTTTAATCATCACAAATAAAACTTCTTCAAAACTCGAATAGACGAAATTTGAACATACTTACCAAGGCTGTGACGCGCCATCTTCCCCTCGACCACATGCTGACGGTATGGCTCCCTCCGTTCACCGGCTAGTGAGTAGTGGGCGGCGCCGTCCCGGCCCGCAGTCCGACCTCTACTGACCTGACCCCGGTCGGCGCCCTGCCGCTGTCCGTGCCCCCAGGCGCCGGCCGGCCGTCGGGTCACATGACCCCAGGCGCCAGCCGGCCGCCGGGTCACGTGACCTCGGCTGAGGTCGCGCCGCGCGGCAGGGGCGGAAACAGGGAGGGAGCGTGAGGGGGCAGAGTCCCTGTCGATCAGTCACGCCACTGCCGATTGAGTCACTCTTCCAACAAATGGTGCCAATGCCAAATGCGTTTCATAATAACTTCGTAAATCATCGCTATACATTATATAACACGCAGTCTGAAGCAGGTTTTATGGCATTCCAATTTCCAAGTGACCAAACGTAATAAGGTAAGTGCTACCGCTAGTTCTAATTGTAATGGTCGAAGCCGATTGCCATAATGACCATTATTCCTTCCAAAACAATGCTTTTAACGTAACGCTCTACAGCAGTAGGTACTTACATGGGAAGAAACAAAAACCGAGCATCGATTAACCCCTCCCCCCCCCCATCCCCGCTCCTTAGCAGTTTCTTTCCCTTCCCCCGCCTGCGCTCCGGTGACATGCTTGCTGCTGGCGCTACCTACCCTATGAGTCCGGAAGTAGCGCTCTGGCAGTGAAGTGAATTGATTATTGCAATAAAGCATACCTATTACCTAAACATATGTTCGTGATATGCCTAGACGTATACCTACCTATTACCTACCTAGGCCCTGCCTGCTTTGATGAATTAAATTTAGAGCTAAACGGTTCATTAAGTGTCTCACCAGACACCACATCATATTTAAGAACTATCGGGATTCGGTTTCCGCACAAAAAAAGAGAAAGTCAGACGAGTCATAACTCATCGCGCTAAAAAGCCGTATAAATGCCGCCGGATACACATCTTCTCTGCCTTCTTCATTGAAACAAAAACGTTCATGTTCAACAAAATTTCACTTAGGTATGCTAGTAGGTAGTGTGTCTGTGCTAACAGTCACAAAAGCTAATAGCCAATAGTGCCGTTAGCACTGCTAACACAATAGCTTATAGTGCTAATAGTCTGTGTGTGTCTGCGCTACAATGGATACAACGAATATTGATAAACAAAATACAAGTTACAGACCACTAAATGGTAGACGGTAGTTACATAAAAAATGAAACTTGAGAATGTGTTCTTGCCGACACCATTTCTGCGCGCGTAAATTGCTTTTTCTCCCCATCCGCAGCCTCCGTGGCGCAATTGGTTAGCGCGTTCGGCTGTTAACCGAAAGGTTGGTGGTTCGAGCCCACCCGGGGGCGTTACCGCTGTTTTGAGACGCGTATGGCGCACAGTGGGCCAGGCGCATCAAAAAAGCGGAATTAAGTCGAAAATCAACTTCGGCGAAATTCCTGTAATTATGGGATAGAGTATTGTAAAAATGTCCAAAGTTTCCGAATAAGCAAGTTTCCTTTCCCCAATGTCAAGGCAGATAATGCTATAACGTCGCAAAGTAGGACTTACCGACTGGAGATGGAAATGACTGCTGTGTACCATATCCCGTTCCCCCGATTCAAAAGTGTAATAGAATTGTGTTATGAATTAGTAGAATGTAGCGTACCTTGTGTGTGTATTGTGCGTGTGTGCTTATGACCGTGTTTGTGTGGGCGCGCCGAGACCGTGGGACCGGCGGGCCGCATTTCCTGCGCCTGCGGCGCTAGTTTTATGGCGCACAGCTGTGTGTGCACTGTGGACCGCCGGCCGGGCTCGGGCGCGCGGCGGCAGTTGGCGCCGCGACACGATGACGTAAGGAATACAGCGTGTGAGAGGTGGCTCGGTTTTCTACAAGCTATTTCGGCTTTGTGTGAGAGACAGAGAGTAAGAGCCATGAAGGACGAGAAAAGTGCGCCTGAGAGTGGAGTGAAGCCGGCGAGTACGGCGGACGCTGCAGCCGATCTCCGACTCATACCTGAGTTCGATGGAGCGACTCAGCCTGTCACAGAGTGGCTGGAGAAGGTGGAGCTGGTGTGCCGTCTACGTGGCATCGACGCGCTGCACGTCGTCGTTCCCCTCCGCCTAACTGGCGGGGCGTTCGCTGTCTATCAGCAGCTGGACGAGCAGGACAAGGCTGGCTACGAGACCATCAAAAATGGCCTGATTTCGGCTTTCGCAGAGGATAAGTTTGACGCCTATGACCGGTTTGAGAAGATGAAGCTCCGTCGAGGTGAGCCGGTGGATGTCTTCGTTGCAGAGCTGCGTCGCCTGTCCGGCCTGTTTGGCGGCATGTCAGACGGCGGCCTAGCCTGCGCGTTCGTGGCAAAACTGCCGGAGACCACCCGCCGTGTGCTTCGTGCAGGAAGCCGCGTCGAAAGCATGACGCTGAGCGAGCTAATCAGCCGGGCCCGAGCTGTGCTCGCCGATGAAGAAGAGACTGCCATGGCAGGAGCGACGGGAGCAGCAGCGCGGACGTCGGCGGCGCCACCCCGCGTGACCTGTCACTCATGCGGACAGCCCAACCACCTGTCGCGGGATTGTCTCGCTGCTCGCGGTCAGCGGGAGCGCGGCGGGGCCCGCGGCGGTCGGCGCAGTGTGCGCTGCTTCCGCTGCAACCGGCCCGGTCATATCGCCTCGTCCTGTCCGGAAAACGACGGCGGAGAGGAGGGCTCGGCGCCAGCCTCCTCTCCCGGTCTCCAGTGAGCGGGGCGCTGCCCGTTGTGCGAGTATCGGTGGACGGCGCCACCTGTGACGCCCTGCTGGACACGGGATGCAGCTTGTGTGTAGCGCACGTGTCGGTGTGTCGAAATTGGAATCGAGACGCAGTGAGCGTGATGACGGTGAGCGGTGACCGATACTGGTGCGAGGGAACGGGTGTCGTGGAGGTGCGATCGCAATCTGGCGAATCGGTATCAGTGCGCGTGCTTGTGGTGTCACGGAAGCCGCTGGGCTTTGAGTTTATCCTGGGGATGAACGGCGTGAGTGCACTGGGTGGCGTGACGGTGAGTGCGGAGAACCATGTGAGGTTCGGAGCTGAAACGACCGGGGTGGCGGCGGTGGCCGAGAGTCGGGTGCCCGAGACGGCGCCGGCGGCAGCAGGGGCGGCGGCGGTGGCCGAGAGACGGGCGCCCGAGACGGCGCCGGCGGCAGCTGGGACGGCGGCGGTGGCTGAGAGACGGGTGCCTGAGGCGGCGCCCGTGGCAGCTGAGACGGCGGCACTGGCCGAGTCGACTGCACCCACCGAGGCGGCGGAATCTGGGTCAGCGGCAATTGGGGCCCTGACAGTGACCGAGACGCGGGCAATGGCGGCGCCGGAGGCGGCGGCGGGTATATGGCGCGAGGAGGAGAAGGACTTTATTGTGAGCTACGATGAGAGCCAGAAAAAGTGGTCTGTGCAATTGAAATGGTGTGGGGACGAGCCAGGACAGTTGTTCAACAAAGCGGAGGAGTACTCAATACCATCAGAGGCCAGGCAGGAGTATGAGCGACAGCTCACAAAGTGGGTGACAAACGGATGGCTTGTTCCCTATGACGAGCGTGTCCACGGACAGGCAAAGGGCACAATACCGCTGATGGCGGTGATTCAGCCGAACAAAGACAAAGTGCGCCCGGTCATGGACTTCAGAGAGCTGAATGAGTATTTGGACTCGCATACGGCTGCCGCAGACGTGTGTAGCGAGAAAATTCGCGAGTGGCGCCGGTTCGGACGGAACGTGTCGCTTCTGGATCTCAAAGACGCCTACCTGCAGGTGCATGTGAGCAAGTCTCTGTGGCCCTACCAGACTGTTGTGTTTCAGGGCAAAAGGTGGTGTCTGACGAGACTAGGGTTTGGAATCGGCTGTGCGCCGCTGGTGATGAAAAAAGTGCTCAGCATGGCTCTCGGGCTGGACCAGAGAATAGACAGCGCGACATCCTCCTACGTCGATGACATATTTGTGAATGAGGAGGTCGCCACCGCAGCTGAAGTGAAGGCCCATCTAGAGAACCATGGCTTGGACTGCAAAGCGCCAGAAAGTGTGATCGATGGTGCCCGTGTGCTTGGCCTAAGGGTCTGGGGGGAGCGAGACGGGCTGTTCTGGAGGCGTGACAGAACCGACATCAGCCCGCCCCCTAAACTGACGAGACGGGCAGTCTTCTCTCTGTGCGGACGACTCACCAGTCTTGTTCCTGTGGCCGGCTGGCTCCGCGTGGCCGCGTCATATCTGAAGAGGCGTGTCACCGCTGTGTCCAGTGGATGGGATGACGAGGTCACTGACCCGGAGCTCTGTGCAATGGTCATTGAGATGGTGGAGCGTGTGAACACATCTGACCCCGCGCGGGGCCGGTGGGATGTCTCTGGAGACGGCGGAGGTGTGGTGTGGGTCGATGCCAGCTCCCTCGCCATCGGGGCCGTGCTGGAGATCAACGACTGCGTCGTTGAAGACGCCTGCTGGCTGCGGAAGAGCTCGGACACCCACATCAATCTCGCAGAGCTAGATGCTGTGATTCGAGGGCTCAATCTGGCACTGTCCTGGAATTTGAAGAATGTGACGATCATGACCGACTCGCGAACCGTCTATCACTGGCTGTCCGACGTCCTGTCTGGCAGAGCCCGTGTAAAAACCAAGGCAGCGAGCGAGATGCTAATTCGGAGGCGTCTTGAGACAGTGAAGAAGCTGGGTGAAGAATATGCCATGCAACTCTGCGTGAAATTCGTCCCATCGGCTGAGAACCGGGCCGACGCGCTCACGAGAGTGCCAAAAAAGTGGCTGACCCCGCAGGGCGCGTCGATGGTGTGCAGTGCCGTCGTCACAGAGCCCGACATCGCGCGGATTCACCACACCAGCGGCCATCCTGGCATCACACGAACCCTGAGACTATGCAGGAGGCAGAGCTCTGACGTCACCAGAGCTCAGGTGCGTGCCGTGATCCGCCAGTGTCAGGCGTGCCAATCGGTCGACCCTGCGCCGCAGCGCTGGGTGCGCGGCACGCTAGGGGTGAACGAGTGCTGGGAAAGAGTGAGCATGGACGTCTGCCACGCCGACAATCAACTCTACCTGACCCTAGTGGATTGTGGGCCGTCTCGCTACGCGATCTGGAGGCGCCTAAAGCGACAGGACGCTGAGAGTGTCATCGCGCAGCTCGAGTCAATCTTCCTGGAGCGAGGCGCTCCCACTGAGCTGCTGACGGATAACTACCCATCGTTTCGAAGTGCCGTGTTCAATGAGTTCGTCAGTCGGTGGGGAGTCTCCGTTCGATACCGAGCAGCTCATGTCCCGTCCGGTAACGGCATCTCGGAGCGCAACCACCGCTCCATCAAAACGTTAGCGGCCAGAAAGAAGTGTTCGGTGGTGGAGGCGGTGTATCGCTATAACGTGATGCCACGCGCGGAGGATCAGAGCTCCAGCCCCATGGAAACGCTGTTTAATTACCGAGTGAAAGTCCCAGATGTAGGCACGCCAGCTGATGCCGATATCAGCCGCTTTACGGTCGGGGACAAGGTTTGGGTCAGGGACCCGAGCCGCCGCTGTGACGTGGCCAGTTCACTTGGGACGGTGAGCCGTATTGTGTCTGTACAGTGTGTTGAGGTAGATGGAGTGCCGCGCCATGTGCGGGACCTGAGGCTGGCCGTTCTCCCACAGCCGGCCGAGGGCAGGAGCACGCCGATCAGTGAGAGTGACGACGAGGGCGCCCCAATTATCTTTTATGAGCAGCGTGTCACTCCCGACGCTGCGGCTCGAGGCGAGTCGGAGGGGGCCTCGCACGATGGCGAGGAGTCGGCAGCTGCTCGCAGGAGCACGCGGGAGCGGCGTCCCGCTACACTGACGCAGTATGGTGATTTATAAATCAGGGGGGAGTGTAATAGAATTGTGTTATGAATTAGTAGAATGTAGCGTACCTTGTGTGTGTATTGTGCGTGTGTGCTTATGACCGTGTTTGTGTGGGCGCGCCGAGACCGTGGGACCGGCGGGCCGCATTTCCTGCGCCTGCGGCGCTAGTTTTATGGCGCACAGCTGTGTGTGCACTGTGGACCGCCGGCCGGGCTCGGGCGCGCGGCGGCAGTTGGCGCCGCGACACGATGACGTAAGGAATACAGCGTGTGAGAGGTGGAAAAAGCTCTCAGCGTAAAATCATTAAAGTTATTCCGTACAAAATAGCTTTAAAAAAACAGCCGGTATTTCTGCGCATGTTTCTCGTACTCAAGTTCCCGGGAACTATTTCATGCTTACTAGTAGCGGTGGGGTTTACAGTGCCTGTTCGGAACCGTGGTAGTGCAACGACGCAATGAATTTATATAAGGATATAAAGAAAACGTCACCGAACAACACGAAGATATTTGCTGCCTGACTTTCCTCAAGGTGTATAGCTTGCTGCCCAATGCAAATATTTTGCGCATTTTTGCGCGAAATGGACAAATAAGGGTTTAACCCTCGCCGGCATAGGCCGTTTTGCATCCCTCGACGGCACAGGGGGATGCGACCCTCCTCACGTTTGGCCCCTAATTGAGCTAGAGCCTCGCGGAAAAAACCATCGTGTAGGTCGTCACGAGACGAAGCCAACGGTACCCGGTTTTAAGGTCATAGGTCAAATGGTGACCTCTGAGGTCAGGTCAATGGCCGAAAGTCGGGACCTGTTAGAACGTCGTATAGTGTGGCTGCTAAGGGGGTTTTCGGGATGCTGATCACGAATATCATGTTAGTTTTGATCACAGATGATGTCTTCATGCATTTAGGCCAGGTCGGGTCAGCTCAGGTCAGGTCAACCAGTATGGGTCCTGCCGGGTATTCGTAGTAGGTGTCAACCCGCCTCTGACAGCTTCGTAACATGTTACGAAGGCACCAAAACTACTTCGTAAATGTTCAAATGGTTCCTAAATTCGAATTCAGCTCCAAAAACTAGCCCAGAAACATGTAAAACTCGAAAAAGTGAACCGAGGTCATCGAAGGTCAATGACCTGACCTGACCTTCAGGTGACCTTTACACCCACCCTAATGCATGGGACCAACATCATATCACATGTTTGAACGCTTGAAACCACGAAAAGACTGCAAACGCGCGGCCAATGCGGCATAGTGCCCGCCTGTCCCAGGCATATGTGCAGCGCAGAAATTAAATAATGACGTCATAGGTCAGTGACCTAGCGTAACCAATCAAATTTGAAAATGGATATCGGATTCGGCTTTAGCATGATATTTTACCCTGTAACGAATCGTTTTTGGCACCGCAGCTGTGCTCAATGATTTAATTCCGCTTTTTTGAAGCGCCTGGCCCACTGTGTGGCGTGAGCTTGTTGTAGGTAACCCGTCGCATAAAAGCTGATGATAAGAAACGTAACGCCAACAGTGTATATAAATAGTAACACCCATGATGAAATCCGGAAAATATAGTGCAAGCGCCAAGCATGCGCCTAGGACGGCATTCAAAACATTGCCGCGCAATGTCCCCGTGAGGCTCGCCAGGAGCATGATAAACTGCATGAAACCCAATAAATGATCTTCTCTCCACTCCTAAACAACTGCCAGTGAGAGCGATCGCTACGCCACGTGCAACGTCAAACCTGCGGGCTGCGGACGAGGAAAACTGGTGCGTTCCTGATCTCTCGGCCTCCGTAACTGGGACACACACGCCTAGTGCAGAAGAGGTATTACAAAGGTCGCGGATCAGTCTTACAGGGTCGCATTAGCTGGACGTCACCGGGCTGAATTTGCTTATTTCAGCAGCCCTAAGCAGTGCTTTTCAGTAGGCGTCTCCATAAGTCCGGCTTCCGAGGCGATAAACTGTTATCGTTGATGTGTAATATCGACGTGTTTAGCTTGAAAAAAAAAAAACTGTTTGCCCCCTACAACCGGAGGTGCTTTTGGGGTGACTGAAGTGGCTGCTCTAACTGATGGCCCGGAGCTGAGCGTCCTAGTAGCAAACAGAAGACGGACGAAGCCTCCACCAGCAGTCAGCACCACTGACCTCTCTGCGGCCCCGCCGGACATCGTGACCCTGACCAGGAGGGGCTCCCTAGCGGTGCCTGCCCCGGCCGGGCGCGCTGGCGGAGCTGCCCGACCTGCGCGAGGCTCTCATAGTGATCGGCATGTTCTGGCTCACGTTCGTCGTGGCCTGGGGCCTGGGCTCTGCGGTCTATTGCTCTTTGGGGCGCCAGAGCCGGGGAATATGACCATGGCGATGTGATGGGGAAGGACAGCGCGATGAACTGAATGGTAGGCGCCGGAGAATTTGTTATTATTCACGCCCGTGTATTGATAACAGGTCATCTTAAATCGTTATTTAGACCCGTATTCATCCGACAAACATAAAAAGTCGTTTTATTCGCTTGTTTTCTAAGGGTTTTCATTTCCACTTTCTTATTCATTCTCATGTTGTTTTATTGGTTTTATTCACGTTTTATTTCGGTGTAAAGTTTTTCCTTCATAAACTGAAGTTTTCTTTTGTAATTTGGTAGTAATTTGGTAGCAATTAAATTGAAGATCTTTTGCGTCGTTTATCGTCTCAGTAGGCATTTCTAGCGCCACCTCAACCTGTCGCTGCGTGCGTATTCATTCCTTTTGGGGCCGGTTAAATTAAAAATCAAAAATTTTGAAGCTAATATCTGCCTTCCCTTCTGTTAAAAGGTAAGATAAGGCTGTTATTCTTATTTTGTGTTTCTTCATTGTATCGTTTATTGTGATTCTAAGCTTCAGATGAAATAACTGGTCAAACCAAACTCCAAAGCGATAATTCAGTCGGGGAAACTATGGTAAAATCTGCTATTTTTAGCAGTCTGCTATTTTTAGCAGTCTGCTATTTTTAGCAGAAATCTGCTAAAAATGGGTACACATGTGACGTCATCGTACCCAAATATGGGGCGTTCCACGACAAATCGACAAGTGCCCTGCACCCTCATATTTTATTTTTTGCTTAAAATTGGTCTAACGGGTTGTGATGGGCGGGGAAGCCAGCTGTGGCAAGGATTTTTTTCTTCGAACAACGGTTTCCGAGATATAGCCTCGGGCAATTCCTGGAGTTTGCGCTGCAGCCCTATGTTTGGCGGCCTATAACTCAGAAACTATTGGTTTTTTACGATGAAAACTTGACATGGTTCAACTCACAATCAACCAACAAACATTTTGGCTATCTCGGATTTTCAATTTTTGAAAATTTTGATCACGTGACCTTTTGTTCTATTTTTCGAAGAGTGACCTTGATATTTTCCCCACTGAAAGTTGCAATTTTGTCTGATGACGATTAAAGCCTTATCAATTGTCATTCATATGCGATAATAAAAATAGTGGTTATCGCCCTGCATTGACCTCAGGTCAGGTCATTTTTATGACCTGTCCATTATTACGAGCGGGAGCGACAGCGAGATCTCGAGAATAAAGCAAGATAGCGACAAGCAGTAAACGGTAAAGGGTACACACGGATAAGGTCTATAATTTTTACTGAGGTCATTTTCAGGTCAGGTCAAAGATGACGTCACAGGAGCTAAAAGGAAGTCAAAATAGCGGCACTATACATATATATGAAGTTTTTCTCGAATAACTTTCAAGGTATCCCACCTAGGAACAAACTAATAGCACCATCGTGATCCTCTCGTCGATCCGCATCGAAACATATGTATTTTGACCTCGAAAGGTTGAAAGGTCAAAAGTTGACCCTAGGTCACGTGATCTAAGGTCAACTTTTGACCTTTCGACCTTTCGAGGTCAACATACATATGTTTCGATGCGGATCGACGAGAGGATCACGATGGTGCTATTAGTTTGTTCCTAGGTGGGATACCTTGAAAGTTATTCGAGAAAAACTTCATATATATGTATAGTGCCGCTATTTTGACTTCCTTTTAGCTTCTGTGACGTCATCTTTGACCTGACCTGAAAATGACCACAGTAAAAATTATAGACCTTATCCGTGTGTACCCTTTACCGTTTACCGCTTGTCGCTATCTTGCTTTATTCTCGAGATCTCGCTGTCGCTCCCGCTCGTAATAATGGACAGGTCATAAAAATGACCTGACCTGAGGTCAACACAGGGCGATAACCACTTTTTTTATTATCGCATATGAATGACAATTGATAAGGCTTTAATCGTCATCAGACAAAATTGCAACTTTCAGTGGGGAAAATATCAAGGTCACTCTTCGAAAAATAGGACAAAAGGTCACGTGATCAAAATTTTCAAAAATTGAAAATCCGAGATAGCCAAAATGTTTGTTGGTTGATTGTGTGTTGAACCATATAAAGTTTTTTATCGTAAAAAACAATAGTTTCTGAGTTATAGGCCGCCAAACATAGGGCTGCAGCGCGAACTCCAGGAATTGCTCGAGGCTATATCTCGGAAACCGTTGTTCGAAGAAAAAAATCCTTGCCACAGCTGGCTTCCCCGCCCATCACAACCCCTTACACCAGTTTTCAACGAAGAATAAAATATGAGGGTGCAAATTTAATTTTTTATTTGTCGATTTGTCGTGGAACGCCCCATATAGCAGATTTTGGTACGGCCCCCGACAAAAGCAGATCTGCACCCTAATTGAAGCAAATGCGCATCAAATGCCTGGCAGATTCATGATTAGAATAGTGCTGAGAATGTCCTCTGATTTGCTTCAATTAGGGTGCAGATCTGCTTTTGTATGGGGCCGTACCCAAATCTGCTATATTTGGGTACGATGATGTCACATGCGTACCCATTTTTAGCAGATTTCTGCTAAAAATAGCAGACTGCTAAAAATAGCAGATTTTACCATAGTTTCCCCGACTGAATTAGGTACCAGGTAGCGGCATGAGAGAATGTCGATTTTCTGACATTTTTTATTTGAGTTGTTTCAGTTTGTGTAATTGAATGATGGTTTCCTAATTGACAATCATGAGGAATGCTGTATGATCTGGGATGTGATTCTTCCGTTATTAGTTTCTTTCAGTTAAGCTTAACAGGAAATAAGATAAAAATGCTTTTGAGACCTGCTAATTATGTGCTGACGTTGTTACCTTTGCTTTGAGAAGTTCTATAAAACTTAATGTTTCACCATATTCCTACTTTTTCAGCTGCATCATGGCTACTCAGTAGGGTTGTTCAAAAAAACCGAATTTTGGAAAAGTATATGGGCTCATGGCTCATGTGGTGCGGTATTCTTTTCTGAGTCCAATGATACCCTTTTTTCCGAAAAGTATTACTGCTAGGCGCTGCTCAAACGGCTTAAAGAGGACCATGTTACGCCCGCCGACCGGCCGGTGTCAATAAGGGCGAGAATTCGACGCCGCACGGCGGCGGCAGCGCCTTATCGGCACCGCGCGCCACGACATCTGCCGGGCGGCCGGCTGGGCGGTGGGAAGTTATAAGTGCGTGGTCTTATTGCACACGATCGGGGTGAGCTATCCCATTTTTTCGGGGCGGAAAGTTTCAGTGCGGCATCGGTGCGTCTGCCACGGTGGTCTGTGTCGATGGTATAGAAAATAACTCAAGCAGAGCTCAGAAAAGAATGAATGATTCCGGGTAGTTGCCTCGAAATAATCCGTTTCAAGAATACAGCTGCCTTCTTAACGTACTGTATCACTTGTTAATTCTTCAAAAAGCAAGCTCTGAGCAATAACAGACTTCTTTGCATTGCTGTTGACAATTTAAGTTGCTTTTGGACGGTGGCTCGCAGCCCCAATATGCTGCCGCGTAACTCTATTCCAACGACGAAACGGCAACTTAGCGAGAATCGAAAATTTAACGAAGTAGGTACAACAGGAGCTGGCTGGCAAGGCTCCTGCATTGGTCTATCCGTCATGAGTGACACACCGGGGTAATGTGTCACGTCAGGGCAGAGCTGTGTTCTATGCCGGGTCTGGATTCGGGTCTTGATCGGCATCGGTGGGCACGGCCGCCCTGGCCGGACTGCCGGCGTCGCTTATGCTCGAAGGATTGGATAAACGGCGCTTGATTTATATGAGTAGGTACTCCGGCTAATGTCTCTACTCATGTCTCACTTCGTCACACTGTCAGGGTGGCCACTCCGTCATTCCCAGACATGTTATGTTTTCTTTCGACCCGCTAATCTAAGTTACACCTGGCGTCGATTCTGTTGCCCCAGCATCTGACATCAACGTATCTGAATAATGACATTGGTGACGCATATGCTCGTCAAAGCCACCCCCAAACTTGGGCCGATGACTGTCGGGTCTCCTCCATATTCTGTCCTTGTGCATACTGCATTGCCACTTGCCAGCCCCTGCTGTACGTATATCGTGAACTTTCGATTCTCGCGAAGTTGCCGTTTCGCCGTTGGAATAAAGTTGCGCGGCAGCATATTGGGGGTGCGAGCCACCGTCAAAAACTAACGTAAATTGTCAACAGCAATGCAAAGAGGTGTGTTATTGCTCAGAGTTTGCTTTTTGAAGAATTAACAAGTGATACGGTACCAGTGTCCTGATTTTCGTGAATTTGGGTGGAAACCCACACCCGAACAGATTCTCTTTGTGACGTCCCGGAAAGCCAAACGACGTCCCTGACAGATAAAAGTCGGCAGGGTTATCGAACACCAAAAGCAAACTAATAAAAAGAAATATCACCTATGTAGCCTAAAAACATGGCTATGCAAAATGAAAATAAATACATCCTAAGGCCTCACAAACCCACTCTTATACTCAACTCCCCTTTCCTACACCACTGGCCAACTGCCGCAACAGTAAACAAAGCGGTTTTATTTTCGTTTTCTGTGCGTCAGATATGAATAGTTTTTTTTCCTTTACCATGTGACGGTAATAGCTGCCATATGAAGGAGAAAAGATGTCGGAATAGAGGGATCTGAGGACGTCGTTTTCCACTTTTCAGTTTTAGTAACTGTACAGCGTATAGATAAAAATTAATAGTGCGAATATATTACTTCGACATTTATCTATAAGCACACAACATATCTTTTGTATCAAATTACTGTAACATATTTAATTATTTTTCCCCCTCAGAAAATAATTAGTCACAGTAACGGGGTAATTATTTTCTGGTAATTATTTTCCTCCCCCCTCAGTCACAGTAACGGGGTAGCGCTGCCCCTTGAGCATGCCCTTCAAAAGTAGTTAATTTTGCATATATGTTGATAGTGGTTGGGGAAAAAGTTTGTGTTTATTTGTTTGAATTAACATAAAGTTACCGAATTTCAACAGTTTTAGTTAAAGTATGTCGTCATTGGCTTAAAAATACACGCAATGTTGGGGACGTCGATTGGCCTTGTCATTCCCATTTAATCGACGTCGGTACAAAACTGAAAAGTGCACAATGATTTCATATTTTTTCCAGCCAAGAAAAATTCAGCGTCTACCTTGGAGTATTCTTAATTGAATTTCATAACAGGAAGCTATGAAAACTAATTTTTCTAACTGTTTACCAACTCTTTGTTTTGACTTCTGTTTTTTACGTCACTCCTCTTGCTCGATATAATATCCCTCTTATGACGTCAATATTTAGTGATAGCCGCTGACTCTTGGGCTGATTTTTGTTGAAGCATATTTGTTGTTGACTGTTGTGTACGATCATGGACAAGAACTAAGCATCTTCAAAGTGTTGTTTTGATGTTTGTGGTGGATGATTGAATTTTGTATTGTACTAGGGGTAAATTGGCATTACTTTGTGTCTATATATGATCATTTGAGGTGCCTTGAGGTGCTATTAGTCAAAATTGCTAGTGAAAATCGCTAATTTTAAGAGATTTAAGGGATCTTCAGTGGCTTAGGCTCCGCACAGATATCGACGTCCTTTTCAAATAGTGACGTCCTTGCGGCTTCCATCACACTCTCCGAAAAATCAATTTCAGGACACTGTACGGTACGTTAAGAAGGCAGCTGTATTCTTGAAACGGATTATTTCGAGGCAACTACCCGGAATCATTCATTCTTTTCTGAGCTCTGCTTGAGTTATTTTCTATACCATCGACACAGACCACCGTGGCAGACGCACCGATGCTGCACTGAAACTTTCCGCCTCGAAAACATGGGATAGCTCACCCCGACCGTGTGCAATAAAACCACGCACTTATAACTTCCCACCGCCCAGCCGGCCGCCCGGCAGATGTCGTGGCGCGCGGTGCCGATAAGGCGCGCGGTGCCGATAAGGCGCGCGGTGCCGATAAGGCGCTGCCGCCGCCGTGCGGCGTCGAACTCTCGCCCTTATTGACACCGGCCGGTCGGCGGGCGTAACATGGTCCTCTTTAAGCCGTTTGAGGAGCCCCTAACAGTTAATACTTTTCAGTAAAAAGGGCATCATTGGTCTCAGAAAAGAATACCGCACCACATGAGCCATGAGCCCATATACTTTTCCAAAATTCGGTTTTTTTTGAACAACCCTACTACTCAGCCACTCCCCCATCCTGACTCCTGGAGTCCTGACTAATGAGTATCACCATTTCAACCTAAATTAACCTCGAGTGAATCATACCAAGTTAATTTTCTGTTGTGAATCATGAGATAAAGTCAAACTTTTTCCATAGGTTTCTTATTTTCAGTTTGTTATATGCTGTTGGTCCAGTACCTGTTTTTTCATACTGTTTCCATTCACCTGCATTTCAGAGCCATGGCCACCCAGATTTCCGAGGGCCTACAGAAGGTGGTTCTGCAGCAGGGCACCGGTCAGAGGCCCAACCGAGGTGACACCATCACTGTCCAGTGCACCGGCATGCTGCACGGAGACCCGCCCAAAAAGTTCTGGAGGTGAGCATGTGGCTGAACTAGTGACACTAGTCGCTAAGTGGTGCTGTAGTGGGGTGGTAGGCCAGGCATCAGCTTACATTAACTGAAGTACCTACCACTACACAGTGAGCTTGAAATGTTAACCTATGTAATATGTATGGACAACACCATTCATTTTTCTAGTGGGGACGGTAGGTCTACTATCTAATATCCAAAACTGTTAAAACTTTGGCAGCTGGGCCAAGTTTCTTTCCCTTTAGCCTGTGTATTTTATGGTGCATTGAATGATGTAGTGCATTGAATGATGTGGTGCTAGCCTGATGCTCTCTCTCTCTCTCTCTCTCTCTCTCTCTCTCTCTCTCTCTCTCTCTCTCTCTCTCTCTCTCTCTCTCTCTCTCTCTCTCTCTCTCTCTCTCTCTCTCTCTCTCTCTCTCTCTCTCTCTCTCCCCTCCCCCTCCCTCCCTCCCTCCCTCCCCCAATACCGCCGTCTCTGACCTGTCTCTCTCTCTCTCTCCCCGGCAGCACCACGGACCCGGGCCAGAAGCCGTTCTCGTTCCAGGTGGGGCTGCAGAAGGTGATCGCCGGCTGGGACGAGGGCTGCATGACCATGTCGTTGGGGGAGAAGGCGCGACTCATCATCGCGCCTCACAAAGGGTACGGAGCCGGCGGCTTTCCCGCCTGGGGCATCCCGCCCAACGCCACGCTCAACTTCGAGATCGAGATCCTCAAAATCGGCAACTAGAAAAGGCTGGGTGACCAACGCTGGCCAGCGCAACGTAAACGTCTGTCAAACCAAACATTCACCGCTTTTTCATTGAATATCCGGCATTTTCTCTGCTTTATGTGCGTGATCGGGATTGTAGGTACACACTGAAGATCTCTGGGAGTTCTGACATGTGAAGTGGATCTTACAATCGCTTCATCCTAGAATGCTACCCGCTCTCGATGGGTGGTTGGGTGTCACCGAGTATTTCTACCTTGCACACTAGATATGTTCTTTGTTGCTACTCCAATTTATTCAATTTGTACCTTTTTAAAAAGCGCTTAACGTTGATCGCCGATGAAGTCGCATTCCTCTACCATGTTTTGTATTTTTTTTTTCTCGAAATACTTCATATTTTGTGTTCGATGGCGTATTAAAAGTGCATGTAAGTGATTTTGAAACGCTTCAAAGTCGTTTGGTGGTTTCCATGAAACTGTCCTTGCTCCGACAAAATAAAACGGAACAGTGTCGTTTATCGTCATTTTCTCGCACGGCAAGGGCCGAGTCCCTGGTATCCAGTTTCCAAACAACTAAATTGTCACAATTCCTGTATCACTAGCTCCTGGAAGCAAGAGTCGACTGTCTGCCCAAAACTGATACTGCAGTACATCTACATATATTGGGGATAACATCACAGGCCACAGCAGCATAAACATTGGTCTCCACACAGTTCCTCATTCACCACGGTAAAGGCGCACGACAGCGCTAAACGTTCGTATAAAACACTAATCATACAGGACTGCAACAGCTCGCCTTCGTCTTCCCGACGTTGGCTGAGCAAAGTTAAAGGGTAAACAGGATAAACAAAAGGATACCACATAAAGTGACTTGGCGTCGGTTCAGTCAGACATACGAAACTCGCGTAAAGGCTGGTGTTCTCCAGGGTATAGTACTTGGTCCCTAACTGTTTTCATTACTCACGCAAGACTGACTGGCTCGGCCCGATCCTAGCGGCAAACCACCGCTTACCTAGCAGTGGAGTTTTGCTATTTATTGACCAAAACTCATTAACTTGACCTGTGGTTAGGTGCTCGCAGCACGTTCTGCATTTAATTCACTGACTCCAGCACGTCTCGCCTGTCATTGGTTAATCACAACACATCTCGGATGTGATTGGTTGAGCCCTGCACGTGCCGCCTCTGATTGGCTACCGGGACACCTGTCGCTCGCGCGGCTCAGGGGCGCGCTCTGCCATTGGTCCGGAGCGCTGCTGCGCGGCGCTATACTGGCGAATCAGGCGCGCGATCTCTGCCGCGTTCTCGGTCTGCATCCGGATGACCTTAGTCTGTTTGGCCGTGCCGACCTTGACGTCGATATAGAGGTCACCGGCATCGGAGCGGACGCGGCGCGTGGAGAGCACCTCGCTGAACGGGTATTGGCTCTGAGTCTCCTGTAGACAAACAGACCCGCGTGAGCGTCCTGAATCGTCCGATCATGTTACCTACTGACGACACTCCTATCGTGTGCCGAATTTTACTCTTGAACCACCTATCTATATTCAGACACAAAGCTGCCATGTGATCTTATAAAAATTCGTGGTGAGCATGAGTGCACTTTTCGTAAGCACATTGGTCACCGCAACAACTGGTGCCTAGCATTATCCACCAATCACGTCTGTGACAGCGGGCGTGACTAACACTTACATTTTGTAACGATATATGTCGTGCAGCTCACATATGTACTATATTGTGACTCACGTGTATAACAGTTGTGTGTGACAGTTGTAAACAATGTGTCTGTGTGTGACTGTTGTGACTCACTTGTGTGACAGTTGTGAACGGTGTGTCCGTGTGTGATTGTGACGCTGTGACTGACTCGCGTGTGTCACGGTATCTAGTAGGTGCAGTCCGCCGCTGTTGGTGACTCTGACTCTGACTCTGACTCACGTGTGTGACGGTATCTAGTAGGTGCAGTCCGCCGCTGTTAGTGACTCTGACTCACGTGTGTGACGGTATCTAGTAGGTGCAGTCCGCCACTGTTGGTGACTCCGACTCACGTGTGTGACGGTATCTAGTAGGTGCAGTCCGCCACTGTTGGTGACTCCGACTCACGTGTGTGACGGTATCTAGTAGGTGCAGTCCGCCACTGTTGGTGACTCCGACTCACGTGTGTGACGGTATCTAGTAGGTGCAGTCCGCCACTGTTGGTGACTCCGACTCACGTGTGTGACGGTATCTAGTAGGTGCAGTCCGCCACTGTTGGTGACTCCGACTCACGTGTGTGACGGTATCTAGTAGGTGCAGTCCGCCACTGTTGGTGACTCCGACTCACGTGTGTGACGGTATCTAGTAGGTGCAGCTCGCCACTGTTGGTGACTCCGACTCACGTGTGTGACGGTATCTAGTAGGTGCAGTCCGCCACTGTTGGTGACTCCGACTCACGTGTGTGACGGTATCGAGTAGGTGCAGTCCGCCACTGTTGGTGACTCTGACTCTGACTCCGACTCACGTGTGTGACGGTATCGAGTAGGTGCAGTCCGCCGCTGTTGGTGACTCTGACTCTGACTCTGACTCACGTGTGTGACTGCATCTAGTAGGAGCAGCCCGCCACTGTTGACGGCCAGCAGTCGGTCCGTGGCCGCCTCTCCGCGACTCTCCGGAGCGGCTCCTACCACGAAAAACGCCGAGCCGAACAGCGGCCAGCCGCGCAGAGTCTCTGTGGACAGGACGTGTGTTCGTGTATTATCAGAGATTGACAGTGGTGGAAAAGGCACGGCATCATCAGTCGTCATAAATGGGAGATCACGATGACTGGAATATGCCGGGCGGAGGATATTCTGGCTCTGTGGAGGGGCACATTCAATACGAGTATACAACGACCTCCTGAGAAAACCAGAACAATGGATGTAGTATAGCGAGATGACCTCAGAAAAACTGTCATGATAGATCCAACCATTAATGCAGCTATTACTCATCCAACCCCCTATGAAATACGTTTCTCAGATCACTTCGCCTCTGTCGTCACTCCGCTCCAGTCCATGATACCTCATCCCAGGCCCTTTAACCCATCTCCCTCCATCACTAACCGAGTACTGCCCGTCGCGCCTCTGCGGGCGTCTTGTCCTGCACCTCGGACCAGCTGTCCTGTACCATGTTCACCCACTGGGGCGGCTTGATGTCGCGCACCAGCAGCGCAGCCTTGGGCAGCAGATGTTTCGTCTCCTTGATGGTCGGCATCGAGCGGAGCCCGGCCGACCGGTGCAGCAGCGCCGCCACGCGGGCAATGTCGAACTAAGGGTACACGGAGGCGCCGTCAGGTGGCGGGGTGGAGACCGAGAATAGCGATCATTACACACAGCATGCTACTGAATTACTATTGACCCCTCACAGGCTGCAGTTGCAACATCACGGCTCTCCGAGATGAAACTAACTTTCATTCCTGAGACATAATATCAAAGTGCAGAGCTGAGCATCGGCGTCAACAGCATACGTTCATCGTTTAATGACGCTCCCTGGTTCATTCTCTCTACTCTATCTACCACCCTAATAACCACTACCACGCTCTTGGACATCAGACTGTTGCTGTCCTCATGACTTTCTTAACAGGGTGTCTGGCTTAGTTAACCCGCGACCTTTACCACGACGCTCTGGGGCAGTGTCTCTGGGCTAAACTCTCCGCGACCCTTACCACGACGCTCTGGGGCTGTGTCTGTAGTTAAGTTTCCCCACGACCCTTACCACGACGCTCCGGGGCAGTGTCTCTGGTTCAGTTTCCCCACGACCCTTACCACGACGCTCTGGGGCAGTGTCTGTATAGTTCAGTTTCTCCGCGACCCTTACCACGACGCTCTGGGGCAGTGTCTCTGGTTAAGTTTCCCCACGACCCTTACCGCGACGCTCTGGGGCAGTGGGGGCAGTGTCTGTATAGTTCAGTTTCTCCACGACCCTTACCACGACGCTCTGGGGCAGTGTCTGTTTGTCTGTTTACTGTTCAGTTTCCCCACGACCCTTACCACCACGCTCTGGGGCAGTGTCTCGGCGGGTAGCACCAGCAGCAGTCCCTCCAGGTAGTCGGGCGTGACCTGACTGAACAGCACGTCCAGGTACGGAGCAGAGTCCAGTCGCAGCGGGAGGGACCACACGGTCCGACACAGCACCAGGTGGAACATCTGCCGAGAGACAGAGAGCACAGACCGGGTGAGACGGCGACCGCCGAGCCGAGGGGACGGAGCAGGGCTGGGTGAGGAGGGCTGAGATTGGGTGACTGCAGACACGAGAGACGATAGAAAACATGACTTGCGGTCAAACGAAGCAATTGCTGAATTGGAAACCACGTGAAACACATGTTACTGAGGGAATGATGCTCCTCGTAAAACAGAGTTGAACGCACCGTTTCCCGTTTCCAGAATTTACTATTGGAACTGCTCGTCCTGTTTGCTTTTTACTCCAAGATCTGCCTCTATCTCATCGGACTGTCATCGTTCCCCATCTATTTCAAGTTTATTCCTTCGTTCATCTTCATTTCCCTTCCCGCCCTATCTACCGTGTTGTACCCCTCAGCCCCCTCCAACCCTCCGTACCTGTTCGTTCCTCTCCAGCTCTGTGGTCACATCCAGAACGTACTCGTGCCGGGCGAGGGGCAGAGTGAAGGCGTCCCCCTCGACCACGCAGTAGAGGCTGAACTCCTCCAACTCGTCCTCCGTGGTAACTCCCAACTCGCGGCAGAGTTCAACCAGCACGTTCTGGGGAGAGGCGGTGACATGATGAACGAAATACTGCGTGAGTAGTGGCACGATACGTGTCTCAGGACGGCTTGGAGAGGTTAATATACGATACAGAGCATTCTGCTGCTGTTCGATATTGAACATTGAACGTTCGATTTTGACTGAGCAAATCATGTGCAACTAATATAGGTACCACGACACAGGATACAAGAGGCTGACATCTTGTGGGACGCTGTGGATATCCCTGGACACAACGGGACGGCATAGGATCCTCTGATTCTGGACATCATCCCTCGGCTTCTCCCTTTCCTGTACCTATACATGTACCGCGGTGGTACCCCTGGTGCTGACTGTACATATACCGGTCGGGGTACCGTACTAACCTGTACCACGGCGGTACCCCTGTGGCTGGTGCTGACTGTATACCGCTCGGGGACTCACCTGTACCACAGTGGTACACCTCGTGTTGACTATGCGCTGTGTACCGCCGGGCAGCAGGTACCGCTGTCGGCGCGCGGTACACCCGGCCGTCACCGCGGCAATTTCTTCCTCTGAGGGAACGTTCCTCCGACCTCCGAGCCGCAGCGTTTGGCGGAGGTTCTGCAGACTCACGGCGGCAGTACCTGCGGCGAAAAGGGCCTCCGGTCAGGTCAGATCGTAAAACAACATGCGCGACTGCAGAGACAGTGCAGCAATGAAATCAGGTCACAGAAGGCGGATCGGGCTTCTGAGTCATGAAGACATCGACAAAAATATCACCGATATCCAAGACGAAACAGCGGCCACCCGGATAAATGTCTTAGCTTCTAGACCTTAGCAAGTAATACCTACTTCTGCCTTCATCCCAACACGAACCGGGTTCTCTTACGTCAGTGTCACAAACTTATTCCTTATATCGCTTCTCTGGTATGTCCTCCGTCTCCGTACCTCGGTGCGCCCGGCGCGGATCCTGCGCGGTTGTCTCCAGGTACTTCTGCAGGTAGGGCCGCAGGCTCTCCGAGCAGGGGAAGAAGGCAGCCACCAGGCTGAGAAGGCGCCAGCCGCGCGCGCACGAGTCGGCCTGCGAGGACCGGTTACTGGTGGTCTGACGCATCAGCTGACAGTACACCTCGTCACGGAGGGCGGGGGTACCGGTGACAGGCCTGGGGGACACGGGGAGTGGTGGTTAGACCTCGTCACGGAGGGCAGGGTACCGGTGACAGGCCTGGGGACACGGGGGGGGGGGAGCATTGGTTACACCTCAGCACGGGGTACCGGTGAAAGGCCTGGAGGACACGGGGAGTAGTGGTTAGACCTCGTCACGGGGTACCGGTGAAAGGCCTGGGGGCAAGGGAGTAGTGGTTAGACCTCGTCACGGGGTACCGGTGAAAGGCCTGGGGGCACGGGAGTAGTGGTTAGACCTCGTCACGGGGTACCGGTGAAAGGCCTGGGGGCACGGGAGTAGTGGTTAGACCTCGTCACGGAGGGCGGGTAACCGGGGAGCTGGGGGACACGGGAGTAGTGGTTAGACGTCGTCACAGCCCTGGAGGAGATGAGGGGACATTGGTCACCGGTCAGCGATACTGGAACCTGGAATACGTCACTAACCGTTACATCGACGGTCACTTCTGGTGGGGAAGCGGCTATTTTCAATATTATAGGCGTGAGAACCTCGACATAAAACGTTTCACGAAAATACCAGCACAAAAACTGGCCGGGCGCACCGCGGTTCGAACCGGCGCCGCGAGGATGAGTCTCGCCCTTACGCTCAAAATCACAAATATTACGCTGTTTGGTGAAAATGCAGCCAAAATATTTGCATCCCCACACGCATGGTAGCTTGGCGGACACTTCGAACGATTCAAAAAGCCCGCCTGCCGCGCCACAGTGTATAGTTTCCTTATCGGAGTGCTTGCGCAAGTATCAGTACATATGAAACCGGGCGGGCAGGCGGACCGGCAGGGTACGCTCCGGCGGCCGACCGGCCCGGCGGCGGACCGGTGACGTCATCAGATAAACATGTGACGTCACATGTTTTCCCAAGGAAACATGATATGGCCTGCAGGACACGTGACAGGCCTGGTGAACACGGGGAGCAGTGGTTGCAGTTTGCACCTCGTCATGGAGGGCGGGGTACCGGTGACAGGCCTGGGGGGCACGGGAGTACCTATGTAGTGGTTAGACCTCGTGCTCGTCACGGAGGGCGGGGTACCGGTGACAACCCTGGGAACACGGGGAGCAGTGGTTACACCTCGTCACGGAGGGCGGGGTACCGGTGACAGGCCTGGGGGCAAGGGGAGCAGTGGTTACACCTCGTCACGCGGTATTTACCGGTGACAGGCCTGGGGGACACGGGGGGAGCAGTGGTTACCTACGCCTCTTCACAGCCCTGAGATATGGAGGACAGAAGTCACTGGTCAGCGATACCTTCTGGTCCCTGGAATGCGTCACTAACCGTTATAGGTATGAGAAGTGAGAATCTCGATATGAAACGTTTCACGAAAATTCCAGTACAAAAACTGGCCGGGCGCACCGCGGTTCGAACCGGCGGCGCGTGGAAGAGTCTCGCCCTTACGCTCAAAATCACAAATATTACGCTGTTTGGTGTAATTGCAGCCAAAATCTATACATTCCCACACGCATGGTAGCTTGGCGGACACTGTGAACCATTCAAAAAGCCCGCCTGCCGCGCCACAGTGTATAGTTTCCTTATCGGAGTGCTTGCGCAAGTATCAGTACATATGAAACCGGGCGGGCAGGCGGACCGACAGGACAGGTTCCAGCGGCCGACCGGCCCGGCGGCGGGCCGGTGACGTCATCAGATAAACATGTGACGTCACATGTTTTCCCAAGGAAACGTGATAGGGTCGGGCTGTGCTGGTAGACGTGTAGGAAGCCGCCGAAACATCTCACGGTTCGAAACATCTCCTACTCCACATCATCAATACCTGTCTTACCTCATGTGATTTTCCCGAGACCTGGAAACACTCTCTGGTGTACCTATCCTATTTTCAAATCCGGCGATCCCTCTATTATTTCCAACTACCGCCCCATTTCCTTAGTCCCCACCATGGCCAAGATTGTGGAGCGTGTGGTGCAGCGTCAGCTGTTTACTTACATGTCTCACAATCATCTCCTATCCTCATCCCAACATGGCTTCCGTCCTCAACATTCCACAGAAACCGCTCTGCTGTCCGTCACAAACCGCATCTTTTCAAACATGGACCGAGGTCACGTCTCCCTTTTGTGCCTTTTGGACCTCAGTAAATGTTTTGACATGATTCCTCATTCCCAACTCCTAACCAAGCTCCAGCTCTACAACATCGATCCTTCTTGGTTCTCCGCATACCTTTCCGGTCATACTCAGTCAGTCTCCATTTGTACTTCCTCCGGCAGCAGAGTGGCTTCTAAACCTCTTCCTAACACCATGGGAGTTTTCCAGGGCTCTGTCCTTGGTCCTCTGTTGTTCACAATATTCGCCAACGACCTCAGCCTGCACGCGCCGGACGCCCATGTGATCCAGTACGCTGACGATACCCAAATCCTTATGTCCGACTTGAAACAAAACATCCCACTCCTCATCCAGCGCATGGAAAACACCCTGGCCTCCCTTTCATCGTGGTTCCATGCACACGGCCTTAACCCTCGCCCGCACATGCCATTTTCCCATCCTAGAACGCACATGGGGGGGGGGGTGGTTGCCACCCCCCCGCGCCATTTCCGTTCCTGTTGGAGATAGAGCTTAGCAGTAAAGACCAAAAAGATTCTTTGGGAAGAGACAAATCCAATGATACCCAGTTTTACCTTCTCAGGTCAGTCATTGACCTTCCAGGTCAGGTCAAACTAAAAAATGTTGCTGTTTTGGGTCACCGTTGGATATCAAGTGCGCTGCTTATCAAATACCGATGACGATGCTGTTTTCTGGTGCCAAGCCAGCTAGAACCTCTTTGTCGCACTATCCGACCAGAATTTTGCTGCTGAGGTCATTTCAGGTCAAGTTAGGTCAAGGTCAATTATATGTGTTTGTATGTCTGTGTGTGTCTGTGTGTATACTGATGTGTGCACCGATTGTTTTTGGGTCCATATCACATGAAATCATGTTCTGAGAAGCTTTTACCAAAAATGCAGTCAAAAAACTTCACAAAAAGTAAATTCAGCTTCCCTAAAACGCAATTATCTTAGATGACCTAGGTTGACCTTGACCCTGACCTTGACCCCTGTACATCGTCGAACAACATGTTCCATGATAGGTGGGAGGTAAGACTGGCAAAAAAGGCCGAAATCAGGGTGTCAAAAGCTCACAAGGCCCATGGCAAACGCAAGATGTTGAGAATTGGCCATTTGGGTCATGACATGACCTGAAAAACAAGGTCATATCTCCGAAACCAAAAATCACAGAAACTTGAAATTTTCAGTGGACATCAAGAAAAGATAGACGAGCAGCTATACGAAAAATCAGCCTTCTAGCTCTAAAAATGTTGAGTGCAGAGCAGAAAGACTGCCTGGGGGGGTGGCAACCACCCCCCCCCCCCCCATGTGCGGGCGAGGGTTAAGCTCAACACCTCCAAAACCGAACTCCTTCTCCTTGGAACCAAGCAAAACACCCGCAACCTCGCCCCTGTCAGCGTACGGATCGGTGGGGAGACCGTTCGGGAGAGTCACACAGTGAGGAACCTGGGTGGGATTTTTGACCGGCACCTCACCTGGGATGCACATGTGAGTGACATCATTCGCAGGTGCACTGGCCTCCTTATCGGTCTCCGTCACCTGAGGCATTTCCTCCCGCAGCCGGCACTTCTAGCTGTTGTTCAGGGGCTGATCATCTCGCGCCTCAGGTACTGCGTGGCTGTGTACGGCAACGGGTCGGCCGCGAACGATACGAGACTTTTAAAAGTTCTTAACTTCGCGACTCGTGTCGTCACCGGTTTGAGAAAGTATGACCACATTTCTCGCGCCCGTAATGACCTGCGGCTGCTCTCGCCGCGACAGATGTTTGAGCTGAGGACTTTGACAACAGCCTACAATGTGCGTGCCAGTGGTGAGCCTGCCGAGCTCGCCTCTCTGTTCACGACCTTTTCTGAAGCACGAACCTGTGAGCGTGTGACACGATCGGATTCACGCCTACGACCCCCTGCCACGCGCACAGTGGCCGGCCAACGCTCGTTTGGTTACCGAGCAGTGTCGCTGCTGAACCGGTTGCCGGTGGGGGCCATGGAGCTAGACTCGCGGGGCTTCAAGCGCGCTGCTAAGGCACTTGTTCTGTCATAGCTTTTATGTGTACATGTGAGCGTGCAGGTATGACTGTGATACTATCTGTGATTTTTTGACAAGTTTCCTACCCATGTTTTAACTTTGTAACAACTGACACAGAATAGCCACGTCTGCACTGTGGAGTGTCTGCGGAAGTCGTAAATAAATAAATAAATAAAAACGGTATCCCTCGGTGTTGTGTCTTGGGACTGGGGACCTACGAGATGCTCCCTGCCCGTCGCTCTCCCCCCCCCCCCTCTCTCTCTCTCTCTCTCTCTCTCTCTCTCTCTCTCTCCCTCCCTCTCCCTCTCCCTCTCCCTCTCCCTCTCCCTCCATTTTCTCACCATGAGAACCGTGTAGACGCAGTCCACATCTGTGACCTCTCGGGGCAGAGTCTGGTCGCCCATGTACCGCTGGATGGCCGAGAAACTCTCCACGGCCAGTCGCGTCAGCTCCGGAGGACTCAGCTTCAGCAGCGAGACGCGGAGCGGACGGTCGGTCCACTTGACTAGCTCCACCTGACGGGAGGGTCACATGAGGTCACATGAGGTCACATGAGGTCACGTGAGGTCATAACGGACGGACGGTCCACTTGACCAGCTCCAGCTGACGGAGGAGGTCACGTGAGGTCACATGAGGTCACGTGAGGTCACAGGGACAGTCGGTCCACTTACCAGCTATACCTGACGGAGGAGGTCACGACTCAACGAGGTCACATGATGTCTGGACATGGGAGCCCGCAAGGAGCTGTTGATTTCAAAGGAGACTTAGGGACTGGACTGCAGTAGAGGCGATACTTTAACAAGAGATTATGAGCGCTGAGGTTTCAGGACATGGCCATTGAGAGAAGATTCCTTGAAGACAAACGGGTCACCTAGCAAAACTTTTGAAGACAAGGGGTGATTAATGACAAGCGCTCAATGAGCTCTGATCGACTATTTACTCTCACATCAACCGATCAATTTTAATTTGACCAACAGGTAGCACAGTGCAGCAGTACGGTCTAATTAATTACCTGTTCCCGCCATGTCCAGTCCTCCTTGCCTTTCTTCTTGTTCTTCTTGTTTTTGGTTTCCAGCATCTTTGAGTGCGCTCCGTCCTCGTCCTTGACAAGATTGTACCTGACATCAGGAGACATTGCAACATGTCACGCTGGAAAACGTCCTATTTTGAAACTGCAGATCATACATGAGGTCGTCGATTGGTATGTCATGTGTTCAATTATAGATGTTTTGTTGCATAAATTCATATATTATTTTTTAAACAACAAAACTATCCGAGAAGCAGGTGTAGTACGGTTCTCCCGTAAGTTAATCAGCTTTGTTGAGCTCTTATTACTGTGGTGCGGAGGCTCGGCGACACTATCAACGATAATAGTGTTATCGCGACGCTGCATTTCTAAAACGGCTCCCAACAGCTTGCCGATCTAGTCTGGATCTTTGAGAGCTGAACTTACCTCTCTTCGGCACCTCTGAAGTTCGTCATCGCGAACTGCAGCAGTGAGTGTTTGCCATCGTCGACCGCTGACCCAGAGCCCTGGCTGTGATTGGCCGAGTCCTGGCTGTGATTGGACGAGTCGCCGTCTGACTCCGCCCCCTGGCGCTCCTCGTCCAATGGCTCGGCGATCCACGCGTCAGGCTCCTCCTCTGCGTTGCCATGCTCAAGGTCACTGACGGGCTGCAAGAAGAGATGCAAAGTTGTCACCAGAAGCTACATAATAGCTGGGAACTATGGGGGATTAACTCACGGGACTGCAAGCACACTCGTCATCATGACACAGTTTTTTTCCGGATATAACGAGCGTAAAACATCCGAGCGCTCCATGACGAAGCCCGAGTATCATCATCGATTGTGTCTGCGGGATCTCCATGGTCATTAATTAGCGAAAGTTCTAAGAATAACTTTCTTTTCAGATCGTTTTAAGCAAAAGACTGATCTTGATAACTTCCATTTCAGGGCAGGTTCCGTCGGTCATAAACCCTGGCTGCTGCGGTGCAAAGGAGCCGTAGTGCCTACGGATTTAATACATACATACATGCATACATAAATGTCTGACCATCCGTTTAAGCCACTAGGTCATCCGTCACTCCAGAGGCTCCGCAGACTGACCGGCAGCTGACCTGACCGGAGTGCATGCATCCGGATTTAACCGGTACATTACCGGGTGAAAGTGCCGACTGCCGCCAGTGATAAGCAATAAGCATAGCCACCGCGGTACGGAACGCTGCTGACTGCTGTCTGTATGTCTGTCTGTGTGTGGAGCCAGGAGCTTAGTGGGTCACACTCACATCTAAACCAGAGTCAGTCTCGTAAATTTCCTACTAGCTGTTTAGGCCGTCATCAATTCAGCACAGCGCTGCGCTCGCTCATCCAGCACTTTGTTCCCACCCGTTACCTATTCAGAACCAACTGCCGACACTGCGTCAAACGCCGTCACTATTCGCACGTCACGGCCCTGTAACGTCCCGCCACGGTACCATAACGGCCAGTCAGCTGCTGCAGAGCCGTGACGCGGAGTTTGTGTGACGCCGTGCGGTAGGTGTCACACGGTACGGTATCGTCCCTCCCGTACTGAGCCGGGTGGACCGGGTGTAGTGTGGTGGGCGGTCCGCTGTTGAACCGTTAGTACGGCCATATGGTGCCTCAGTCGCACTGGACGGCGCGTGCCGGAGTCCGGACCGCGCGCTGGGTCAGGTCAGGTCAGGTCGGGTCAGGTCAGGTCAGGTCAGGTCAGGTCGGGTCAGGTCGGTCGGTGGAACATCCGGGGCCAACAGGTCGGGCTGAGCGGCAGTTAAGCAGCTTGTCGAGTTAATCATATATGTAGGTGCCGGACCTCAGGTCGGCTCAGACTTAACCTTAACGGATTCAAATCGTACCTGTATGCAGCAATCCAAACATATTTTCACTGTGTGCACACGTGTGCACACTTGCTTGCACACCTGGCTTATTACACCGGCTCTGGCTCTATTTGAGTAAATTTATTGCACGGCCGGCTGGTTACAGCGCCGTTTCTGCTGCACGGATCACCGAGCAAATGTAAATCCAGAACGAAACAGCCATCCGCGGCCGTCTTCAGAGTTAAGCTCCATAACTCCTAATGGATTACCCGGCTATAATTAGAGCTCTGATTGACCATTTTTAGAGTGGGAGTAAACGTTCAAGAGAAATTAGCAGCAGTTATCATGTGTGATGTGACTGCTAGGCTCAAGTTTGGACATCGGCTACTTGAATGAAGGATAAGCCACCCATGTGGCTGGAGGGATGGGGAACATCTGGTTTGCGAAGCGGAGCCCACGTGGCTGAGGGGACGGGAACCCAAGAGACTGAATGGTAAGATAATCCTCAAAGCTGGTGGGGACGGGCACCGGACACGGGCCACGTGGTTGAAGTTACGAGCTATGGAGAACTGTTTTCACATGAGTGGCCCCCTGTCCCCCCCCCCCCCTCCTAATACCACCGTCTGTCAGGGTGGAATGTATGACGTTATCCACACCCTATCTGAGCGGAACTATCGGGCCGTCCGTCGCGGCTCCATCCAGTGGTATGTACCGTCAAGGTCGCTCCGCTGAGTCCGGACACACGGACGCGTGGCGGACACGGACACATGGCGGACACACGGACACGTGGCGGACACGGACACATGGCGGACACGGACACATGTCGGACACACGTGACACGGACTCCTGGATACATATCGGTGACGTCGGACACAGACCGAGTCCGACACACTGCCCTGCCAAAGTCCGTCTTTAGATACCAGAGTAACCTCCTTTGATCACGTTGGGAATCTACGAAGTGGGAATAGGTAGATCAAGAGAAAACTTACTTTAACCACTATTTATGGACACAATTTGACACGCCTCTCATCAGACTTGGTTTCAGTTTTCACTGCTGACCCAGTAAACCGAACGATCACCAGATCTGATCAAATCTAGCTCCTGCGACCCCTCCTTTCCCAACTCTCGGCGATTCTTTCCGGATCAGTGCACTTTCAGACATGGATCTGGGTCTGAACGCACACCTCCAATCGTCGCAGACCGATCTAGGCGTGTTCCCGATCCCAGTGCGGCTGACCGCCGTACCGGGCAGGCACAGTGACCGATTTTACGGGTGAGCGCGCCACGCCGCCGCCGCCGCCGCCGCCGTCAAACCGTCACCGTATAGCGGACACTTCGGACGGGGGTGGATAGTGGTTACACGGTCGGACTGAGCTGAACGCCGGCCTTCAGGTGGCGGTTACACGGTCGGAATGAGCTGAGCGCCGGCCTAGAGAGGCAGTCGGCAGACCGGAGAGTTTCGGCAAATTGGAGAGTTTCGATTTATCGGCAAACGACGGTTTACATGTGTGTAGAGCAGCCTGAGACTAAACGGAATTGCCCGCAGAGACGGGCCATGCACGGCTCGGTTGTCTGATGCTGGACAATTCACACTGGCGTCTGTAGTTCGAACTACGATAGCATGCATTCGCGACGCATACTTTCCCTATGCGGGAGATTCGTCCGAAAAGCCTGAACAGGGGCGTGGGAACTACTTTCCGACTGGGGGGGGGGGGGCACACCATAATAGAGATTAACCTAGGGTACCCCCAAATCTAGGTTTCTCACCGGTTTTAGGCCACTTATTTTTCACCCCTCGGATTTTTCAACAAAAAAAGAAAACATTTGCAAAAAAAGTGTGGTATTCCGTCTCAAAGCTGTGGGGGCACCGCCCCCACGGCCCCAGAGTTGGGGGGGGGGCAAGCTGCCCCCACTGCCCCCCCCCCCCGGCTCCCGCGCCTATGAGCCTGAAGTTGGCCGCCGTTTTTTAAGCTTAAGGCATTAGCATTTCTATTTTGAGAGATAATATCATTTGCTTGTGGGTAGGTAGCTCTGAAAAGCATTGAACGCTGGGAGTAGCCCAACGGGCAAAAAATTCCAGGTTCCGTTCCGGGTTTCGAACCCACATGCTGTGGATGAGTCAGGCATCAAATGCTTAAAACGATTGACAAGACACTTCTTGCTATAAATTCCGCCTATAGATAAACATCACAATGTGTTGCATGCCACAGCGGACACTTTTAATAAGCCAAAAGCCCGCCTGCACCGCCAGAGACAAGTATTATCCATTTCATTGTGCTTGCGCAAGTATCAGTACGTAGTGACCGGACGGGCAGGCGAGCCGACTGGAGCGGCTCCAACGGCGGACCGGCTCGGCGGCGGGCCGGTGACGTCATCCGTGACGTCATACCACCCAGTCCAAACAGCGGACGGCCGACCCTCCATCGGCGGCACGGCGGTGTGGCCGCTCCAAGAAAGGCAGTGCCCGTCGCCAGCGGTAGGGACGGCGATCGGCGCTACCCGCCCGGATAATGGGCTATTGTGTCCCCATTGACCGGGAGGGGGAGGGACGGGGTGCCGGACCGTGTGGTGAAGGGGAGTGGTGGGGAGGAGGGAGGGGAATGCAGAGGGGAGGGAGCGGGAGGCCGGAGGGATTGAAGGACGTAATGGAACGGATGCAAGGATGAAGACAGGAAGAAGGGAATGGGTGAGGACGGGAAACAGAGCAGACGCATTGCTTCGCAGGATCCTAGGGCACGTCAACAGCGAGGTCAGTATGCGTCCATCGCGGACACTGGAGTGAAGACGAGGAGAGGAAGAGAAGAATGCAGTCTGGCAACCCCTACACTCCGTCACTAGTCCGTCAACAGACGAACCAAGCCACTTCTGATCGGTCCCACAGAACGGCTAACGGTTGCCGATACCACAGAATGCCCGACTACGCAGCCCGTTTGGCGGCGGGGTGGTGCCGCCCGGAACCCGGCGTAACGGTTTCGTCAACCAGCTGTTGTCGTTTGGTGCGATCTGAACAAATCATGTTCCGCTCCACGTGCCTTGATAATGGACCATTACCGCCCAGCGAAATGCACGCAATGGCGATAAACAACTCATCCAGCGATGAAGCGAATGATGTGAGGAAATGAACAACTGAAGGCGAAGGAACGGGGGATGCATCGGGATAAGATAAGCAAAAGTGGTTCCGCACAACCTGGGGGTAAACGCATACCGAAAATGCTTAGGTTCAAGTGTAATAATGAGGTCTCCAGACTCCCCAGTCATAACAGGAAGAAGTGGCCGAAATGAAGCGCTATATGATGCCCTTAAGTGGTCATAAAAATTATCGCTGTAATCAGGGATGCGGAGCCGGAGCCGGAGTCGGAGCCGGAGCCGCCGGAGCCGGCATATTTTGCCCGGAGCCGGAGCCGGAGCCGGAGCCGTGAAACAATATAGACCGGAGCCGGAGCCGGAGCCGGAGCCGCCAAAAAAGGGGGCGACTCCGGCTCCTTTTTATTTTTTGAAGAGGAAAAAAATAATTGACCTAGTTCGGTTTGACAGTACAAGGCAGTGAAACATATGGTATGTTCTTACGTCATGGGCCATCAAGTGAATGAAAAAAGCCGAATATCCCCAGTATCCCACAGTACGCAATCAACTTCCTGTCTGCTCCTCCCCCCCCCCCCACCCACGTCTACTGCATCCCCAGAACATGAGGACCGGTCATCAGGTGACGGCCATTGTTTTCAAGCCAGTGCAGTGGACTGCGACTCCCAGCACCGTCTCTGCCGAGACGGGTGTCAGCTTACGATGGTTCAGTGAACTCCGATTCGCGGCGACTGCGTTTCCAATGCCATCGCTTCCTAGTCCTTGTTCTGCCAGTTCTCTCCGAGGTGCGTTTACGCGGGGACGCGGTCATGAGCCGGTCATGGCAAAGAGTAACGCGTATAACCAATCCAATTTTTCTTCCACCCGTATTTAATTGATTGCATAGGGGATGTACTGAGTCGGAGCCGGAGCCGCCGGAGCCGGAGCCGCCGGAGCCGGACCATTTTACTCGGAGCCGGAGCCGGAGTCGGAGCCGCCATAACATTTCACCCGGAGCCGGAGCCGGAGCCGGAGCCGATTTTTTTCTCCGGAGCCGGAGCCGGAGCCGGAGCCGTCTGAAATTTCCACGGCTCCGCATCCCTGGCTGTAATGACCCAGTGGCCTCGTAATTGTCAACGCAATGTCAGAAAGGGACTTTCACCGAGGATGCTGGTTGGTAATTTACAAGGGGAGGCCTACCGAAGAAACGGTTTCACATCAGCTGGAGGTAGACTCGTCAGCCCTTTCCACAGTTTATCTCAAGCCCCCTATTTAGCACTCACCGGTTCCACAAAACGCGAGCTGACCAGCTCCCTGACGGAGGGCACCCGCACCGGCAGCGCCTCCAGCGCCGACCTGCGCAGGCGGTAGTTCCTCTCGCTACCGTTGGTGTCGCTGCCTGCCACCGAGGACGCCGTCCCATTGGCCGTCTCCTCGGAGGTCACTGACCCGGCCGGGGCAGACTCCGCTGAGGTCACGTTGCTCGTGTCAGCAGAGGCGGGGGCAGAGACGGCAGCTTGTGTGGCGTCAGGTGCAGGGGCGGCAGCTGGAGCGGGGTGCATCACTGCGGGCCGCGCGGGAGGCGTCGGCGGCAGCTCGGGCTTCGTTTCAGGGAGGTTCCTCCGCGCTGCATTCACCTCGCTGATTGACTCGTAGAGCGCCTGGCGCTTGGCCACACTGCCTCGCTGTATCTCTGCTTCTGCCGTCCACGACTGAGCGGATTCCGGACCTCTGGCTGGACTGACCTCTTCTTTCTTTCCGGCTGACTCAATTCCAGAACCTTTGACTGAACCATTTTGGACACTGGAGGAATTTCTGTGGCCATGGATATCCCTGGGTTGACTTGCATGGTCCTCTTGAGTCTCAGTCGGCGGAGACTCACCAGACAGCTCTCGGGGACGGTCCTTGGGGAACTTCACCACCCGCGTTCCAAACCGATCTCGCCTCTTCGGGATGGCACCCGTGTGAGGTCCCGGTTCCAGTGGCCATTCTTTATTTGCTGAACTTTTGGCATCTGCCTCGGAGCTTGAAGGGGAGTCTGGGAGTTCACTGACTTCAGGGTACGAGTTAGGGCTAGATCCATGAGAAACATTAGACGGTTCAGGGGAAGAAAGTAGCTGGTTTTGTTTTGACTTGGAGCTCCTCGATGACTGAGCTGAGTGCAAGCTCTCAGAGTCTATATGCCTCTTTTCTCTTTTGCTACCATCTTCCTGGATAGCTTTTGGAGCTGGTGTTTTCGTTCTCGTTTTCTTGTTATAAGACCCTTTGGTCTTGCTCACAACCACCGGTTCCACGGTTATACCGTTTTCGACATATGTGATTCTCTTGTTGCCATCTTCCATGCTCGTTACCTCGACGAAGTGTGTGACGGTTCTGGATGTTCGACTTGTGGACCTGTCATCTTCACTTTCCTCAATATTTGTCTTAGACGACTCTCTGTGACTAACAGAACTGCTGTGGCTACTGCGGTAATCATCAGGTGACTCTCTGAGGCCGCCATCAGTACTGAGCTGGTTAGACTTGCCGGAACGCATGGATCGAGGTGAGTTCATCTCTGATGCAGCCGAATCAGGGTCCTGCTTCTGGGATTCGCTTTTGCACGCCAAACAGTTATCGTCATCATCATCTTCAAGACTTTCCGGAACTGTTTCGGGTTCTGTAAAGTCGTTACCATTAGTATGTTTGGAATGTTTTTGGTTACGCACAATATCCTCTTCTTCAATTGATTTACTGTGCAGTTCGTCGTCACCAAAGGCCCGTTTGTTTTCAAGAGATTTCCCATCTCCGTTGGGGCCATGTGAGCCATTCCTTGATGGGGCTGAGCTACGGGTGGGCTCACCTTCGTCTCGTTGCCTCCGTACAGACATGCGACTCTGGCGTCCTCTGGATCCTGCCCTGGGACTCGTCTCAGTACTGGCGCGTCTCTCAGGAGTCTCAGCGCGGCTGGACCTGCCGGCTGCGGGGGTGTTGGACCTGCTCACCCCTCCCCCTCCAGGGGTGTTGGACCTGCTCACCCCTCCCCCTCCAGGGGTGTTGGCCCGGGCCCGCAGTCGCTCCGGAGTGGCCGACCGCGTGATAAAGGCCGCCAGGGAGCGGTACTCCCTATCCGGGGTACCCGACCCCGTCCTCGGACTGCGCGTGCCGTCATCGTCACCTCTCGTTCGGCTGGCGTGCGGCCCCGTCGGAGCCACGTAGAGACCCTGGAAGGTGGTGCCCACGCGGTTGAACCTGCTCGGTGGAGGTCCCTGCGCCGCGGAGGCGGAGGATATCTTCTGCCAGATGGCGGCGCGCGAGTGTCGGACCGACGAGAGGCCATCGGCTCCCAGCAGGGCGTCTGGGGAGCGTTCGTGCGGGGATCCGCCGTGTCCCGAGAGCAGACTGTCGGGCGGACTGCGCGAGCCCTCCACGTGGCTGCGGTCGGAGCGATAGGCGCGGTCCTCGTCCCCGGAGTTGTCGTCGCTCTCCTTCAGCACCGAGAGTCGCTTGCTGAGCTTCTTCCTCAGCGTGTCGCTCACCTCTCCCCAGTTCTTGGTGTAGGAGAACTTGTGACCGCCGCCGGTGGGGACGGGGATGGACGGTGTTGCTGACTCGGAGGACGGAGGCCGAGGCGGCGGTGGATCCGCGTTCTCGGTCTGCAGGGAGCTGAGGTCCGGCATTGCAGAGATTTGTTGTGCTCACAAGCTGCAAGTCCTTCTCTCACAGGCCTCAAACACCCTCAGTCCCAAACAGTCAATCACTGCACAGCTAGTCTATCACTGTCCCAGAAACACACACCGACAGCACCGCAGCGCTACTGTCCCTGCACAGAGCACCACTCCACGTCCCACAGTGCACCCCTCTCCACTCCTCCACTTCGGCCGCCGTCCGGGGCCGGGCCACACCGGCGCCGAGCGCTGCCGCTGACCGACTGCCGCCCACTGTAAGAGCACCAACTGTCGCCCCCAATCTCCTCTAACGGTGTGCGACGCCCGGCCAGTGTGTCCGTGCTGTACAGAGAGCGGCGCCGGCCACCGGCGGCGGACCGACCCGATTCGGTTCAGTGCCTCCCAGCTGAGGGAGGGAGGTGTGCGAGCAGTTCGAAAATGAGACGGTACCGATTTCATCGGGCGTCAAAAATGAGATGGGACCGCTCTCTATCAGAAGAGATTCGCCAAAAATATTGGTATTGTCCCTTTTAGGCAATTGGGGTTAACGAGAATCACCTCGAGATTCAAAGCCGGAAGGATTAAATGCAACGCTCGAGGTGTAGAAAGGTCCTGATTAAAATGAACTAAACCGTTTCCTTTCAGTGTATGTTACTTTTGCTCTCCGACCATTCGGCACTTCCATTTGCATTTTGCGTGTACATTTTACAGATAGTATTAAATTTTTCCGCAGATCCTAAGGCTCCGGGAAGACATTATCGTGACGTTGCTCAGAGAAGCAATGGTTTGATCAAGTAAGAGAGGCGTACAATTAATGTCAGGCTTACAATTAAAGTCTAGCCCTAGTTCCCTCCTTTCCTCGCGCGACTAGTGACCTGGAACAGACCAACGATTCCAAGACGCTAATAGCGACAGAAAAAGTACCGGGTTTCCGGAGATTTCACGAGTTTCAGGCTCCCAAACAACTACTGGCAAACAATTCTATAAGGCTGGATAATTGGGTTATTATGATCATTATTTACTTTGATTTATATTCACAATTATGGTCAGCCGGCACCCTAACTTGGTTAGACTAAATAGTATGTTCACGCCCACGGTACCTCGTAAACATTCTCCTTATAATAAAAGTCCGATGGTTAACGACGACGGGCTTGAGCAAACAATATACGATAGCGAAATATTAAATAATATGTAAGGTGGGGAGGCATGATGAGGTAGGAGCTGATCGCGCCGCCTAAAAAAAAATTATGCATTCATCTATTGCCCAGCCATTCTCAAATGAACAAGCAGGTACGGGGTTTGACCCTTATTGAAAGTCTGAGCGGTCACTGGCCTGGTCGGACCACTGCGGGATTTATGACCCGTCTCTATAGTGACCTCAAAGCCTCTCAGAAAAGACGGAAGTAGCGACTAGCGCCGTCACTTGGCGGCGATTGAAGGGGACAATGGGCAGTAACCCTTTGTGTGATGAATCGTTATTCATGAACCCGTGACAGATTGTCTAGCTTTTCTCGCACTTTGCACTGCAGCACGCAGCATTCATGACTGAAATCAGCGACACTGAAATCCCGTTTGGTCTGGTGCTAACAGCTAGGGAGTCCACAGTGAAAATATGCGCGCAAACTGCAAAAGAATGGCTAGAATGTTCTGATGTCACCGACTACGGCCAGCTATTACCGTGGGTATGCCTCAACTCTCCAAAGCTCTCCCCAGCTCTCTCTCTCTCTCTCTCTCTCTCTCTCTCTCTCTCTCTCTCTCTCTCTCTCTCTCTCTCTCTCTCTCTCTCTCTCTCTCTCTCTCTCTCTCTCTCTCCCCAGCTCTAAGCAGCTTCCTGCTCTGCTCTCCGCAGCTCTCTCCAGCTCTCCCCAGTCCCCACAGGCCACAGCTTCGTAAAAGCTCCCGCAGCTCTGTAATAATTGTTTTTCCCCGCTACATGCTCTCCGCTACTGGTTCACAGCGGCTGGCGCCTCCGACAGATGACGCGATTTGTGGGGAGCCTCCGCGAGCCATACGGCGCTCGGGAGTGTTTCAATGACCGCAGGCTGTTTGAAATATAATTAGACAAACACTATTCGTTAGAATTGCGTTTTTCTATTGAAAAACAATCAGAGCAGTTCTGGTGTGAAGGGATAGATGTATGTGTCTTATGATGAATGTGCATCAATATACATCCACGGGCAAGGTGGCCGGTGTAAAGCATACTCAATCACTTTGAACCTGTCTCGAAAATCATCTTCACCCAACCTCTGTCTCTGAAATAATACACCTCACCTGATGGTGAGCGCTGTACCAGCCGCGGGACAGGGGCACCACCCGTCGGCAGGGAAACACTCCGTGACGGCCGCGGTACGCGCCGAACCACCAACCTGGGGGAGGGATGGGGTGGTTAGGGGGAGGTGTGGGCACCGGACGGTACGTCTCGGTACTGGTGAAAAAACGACACTCACGAGTCACGAGAAGCAGAGCTGAGAGCTGGCACCTCTGACTGCTTGACACTCTGTTCCGAGTAGGTACAGACTAATGATACACTTAGCGAGAAAAAAACGACACCCACGAGAGGCAGCTGAGAGCTGGCAACTCTGACTGCTTGACACTCTGTTCCGAGTAGGTACAGACTAACGATACACTTAGCGCTGTTTGCATTCACTCATTCTCATTCATTCATTCACTCATTCATTCATTGTTTGTACATTTAATGTCCCATGAGGAAGCTTTTACGTGGTCATTCCGTGTCATAAAGGCCGCTTAGTTCCTCGAACATGGGTAAGTGGTAACGGCCGTACATGCCACACAAACCATACCTCACATAGTTATAGCCATTCCATCACCGCTGTGTCATAACTGCCCGCTCGACCTCCGCTGTATGCGCCTCAGACCTACATTCTCTGTGAACGTGCCGCCCGCTGGACAGCTGATTCAGCGCCAGCTGCTGCTGCTGCTGCTGCGGTACCGCAGACACCACTAGCGGCAGCCGTAGCGGTCCGCCTGTCTGCCAACCACCAGCGGCGGCTCCCGCCGCTCCGATCCCGACGCACGGCGGCGTGTGCGGCGCGCCAGCTGACGCCCGGCGCGGCGGTGGCGGCGCAGTGGATCATAACGCGCCGCAGGAGACGCTCGGCAGATGTTGTCCGCAGTCCGCGGCCGGTCTGTGGACCGTTAGGTGCGCAGGAACGCAGACGAACAGACGGCGGGGTCTGTGTGTGCCATACAACAGCTGAATGCCTAGCGAGCGTGTGAATCAGCCAATCAACCGGTAATTAACCGTTACCAACCGGTAATCCAGTTCCATGACTGATGATAAGACGTTACTCAGCACTGCCTTTTTGCAATAGGTAGGTGTGGCCACTGGACGGAGCCCAATGCCTATTGTTTAGTTGATAGCACTCACATCTAATGCAGACCCCATCCAATACGGGCCTAGACGGACCAGGTGCCTCCAGCCTCTGGGTCCAGAGACGATCATTTCGTAGCTTTGGGTCATACGAACGGGCCCGTGGGGCTCAGTTGCCAACACTGGGTAGAGTTGTAGGCCCAAAAGCATATGCTGCCGGCATTGGGTCACGTATCGGTCTCTCCGCTTCTCAGCGAGTAGCAGATGTTGTGACGCGGCACAACTCATTGTTTGTGCTGTCAGCGCGGCACACAGTACCTCTGTATGTGGCGCATACGGAGCTTCAGCCAGGTGCCGCAAACAGGGAGTGGGTTATCAGTTACAGTGACTAACCCACTTACTGTGGAGACCTGAGGGAGTGGGTTATACCTGCAGTTGCAGTGACTAACCCACTTACTGTGGAGACTTAAGGGAGTGGGTTATACCTGCAGTTGCAGTGACTAACCCACTTACTGTGGAGACCTGAGGGAGTGGGTTATACCTGCAGTTACAGTGACTAACCCACTTACTGTGGAGACCTGAGGGAGTGGGTTATACCTGCAGTTGCAGTGACTAACCCACTTACTGTGGAGCCACCTGAGGGAGTGGGTTATACCTGCAGTTACAGTGACTAGCCCACGTACTGTGGAGATCTGAGGGAGTGGGTTATAAGGCTACCGTGACTCGCTGTCAGGCAAGGAGGGAATTGCGCGGTTCAGTATAGCTTATAGCCAGTTCAGTATACCGAGAGGACTTGGTTAGTTTTGCTTCTGTTGAGCTTTGTTTCGTTTGTTTTGTCAGGTTGTGCAGTTTGTTCGTCTCTTTGTTTGCTGTTAAGTTTTGCTGATTTGATTTTTGTGTTATTTCTCGATATGCAAATAGCTTACCATTTGGACCATCTTCACAAAAGACAAGGGTAGCATTGCTTATTTCCCAATTTGCCTTCCACCGTCTTGGATTAGGTATACGAGTATATGGAACAATGGAGCATCCGATCGGCTATCGGTGTCGCCCCGCTCCGCCCTCATCCCTGCAGCTGCCGTTATACAGTCCCATGGTGCAGGTGCCCGTCTTACACGGCACCACCTACATACAACAGCCCGCTGCTAACGCAGGTGGTGCGCCGTCCGCCGTCACCACGCTGTGCTGGTGATTGGTGATCGGTCTCACGCGCTGCACTGGTGATTGGTGTGAGATCATACTGCGGTGCAGACGCACCGGTACAGAACACCAACTCGGTTTCGGAAATGGGTACGTCTCACTGGCGTGTGAACGAGACTTCAGAGGCTCGAACTGGGATTTATATGGAGAACGGTGAGAAATGCGTCGTTCGGCAACTGGTGAGGCGAACAACCCCGATTTCTCCTGTAAGATGTGAGAAATTTGCCTTTCGAGAGATAATTGTTTTGTGGTTTTCATTTCAAGTGAACTCTTGGAGGCTTGCCCTGCATTGCATACAATATAAAATAAAATAGGCCCATTGCCCCCCCCCCCCCCCCCAACAGGACGTGGAACGGGGAACCTGCCAGACCTCAACGAGGCGCGGGTTAACTAGCAATCGGTACAGAAAACCGTTCGTTGTGATGTGCACCAACTAATTTCGTGCGAAGAAATGAAAATGTGCAAAAAAAGTTATGGTTACTCTGATCGGTATATCAGATAGTACCTACAGGTGTCCCATCGTCCCACCTCTCCCACTTTACTCTAATTGTAGCCAAGTTTCAAGGGCCTTTCTTGTTCGATATCTTCCTAGTTTTGATTTATTCACTGGAAATCTGCTCGCCTTTTCAGGAGAGATAGTAGCTGCTAGCAAGCAAACGAAAATCAGCCAACATCTAAGGCTAGAGACACCAGTCGGCAGCCAGAAGTTGGCGAGAAAAGTCGGCATCTGCCCAAAATCATTTAGCTTCGGTGTGTTCAAGCAGCGCACTCTCCTCTGGCTCTCCCAGAAAGCCCAATGAAATCCAGCTTGCCTGGTACATCCCACCACATGACACGGACGAAACGACCGATGGCGCTCCCAAACGAGGAGCCGAAGACGGATTGGGCGGTGCACGCGCAAAGAGCGGCAGGGGAAAACTGCTCGGAGTGGTGATTCCGCTGCTCCGCTGGATGGTCCGTCTCCTGCTACTAGTATATCTCTTTCAGAAGCTGCATTCGCAGTATCAGGACTACCTGTTCCAGCCCGTAGTAGTCAAGTCAATCGTGTTCCAGCGGCAGGCCCCGTTCCCACGTCTAACAATTTGTCCCTCTTCGGAACTGAGGGACACAGAAATGCTCAGCGACATGGAAAAGAATCTCACTCAGGACGAGATCACACTGGAGCAGTTTTACAACATGACGACAGTGGATTTACTGGAGACGAACAAATGGGAAGTCAACAATATGCGCCTTTACTACAGAGAGACCACGGAACAATTTAAATATCACACATTCCCAGGCACAAGTAAGCTGGGGCGGTGGCGCGCGCGCTACTACTTGACACTGACCGAACTTGACGAGAAGTTGATTCCGACACTCTGTCTGACTTTCGAGCCGAGCGAATACCTGAGAAACCGGGCCAAAAGCGACGTCAACCTGGTGCTGAATCTGAAGGTCACGGAGCTCTTCAAAGGAGGAGGCATAACCTACCACCTGTTTCTGCACGAGACTGAGGAACCGAATGTCGGCGATCTAGCCGCCGAAGCGCTGGGCGCGGACATTAAGCAGACCGTCTCGGTGGACCTGCCCCTGAAGAGAGACCTCACGCTGCGTCTGACTGCCCGCATGCTCAGCATGGTGAATGTGCGGCGCCGGCCGTGTCGGGAGGACCCCGGCTACTCTGCCATCCAGTGTCTGAAGGAGTGTCTGTGGAGTCGTCTGGCGGCCAACATCTCCTGCCGGTTGCCGCACATGGTCGGCGCCGGGGTGTACCTGCCCGACATGAGCGGACCGCTCGACCACCTGCCACTCTGCGCGAGGCCCGTGCAAATGAAATCCAGCAAGAATCGAAGAATTAACCGGCTGTGTGAGCGCATCGAGGAGACTTGCGCATATAACGATTCATACAGATGGTACAGGCCGACCAAGCTCCCAACTCCAGAGGACGAGGTCGATCCGTTTTCATTTTTCTATAAATGGAGATACAGTCGGAAGACACAGCCCGCTTCCATCAGACTAGAGCCCACAGAGAATACTCAGGACAAACTGGCCAACATCAACGACTGCACAATACCGAAAGACCTCGAAACGTTCGTTGATGACCGCCTGGCCACCGACACACAAGGCTGCGATTGCCCACCTGCCTGTCGGCAAACATTCTACCAGCTATCGGACTGGTCTCCTGGGGACGACAAGAGCAAGGACAGCTGCCGGCAGGTGCTGACACTGTCCGTCAGCCTGAAGGCCGATGAGGTCAGCGAAGCCATCTCCTTCACCCTGCCGACTCTGCTGGCCAACATCGGAGGCACCAACGGCATCATGACCGGATACTCGCTCTTCACCCTGACGGCGGCTGGCGAGGCGCTGGCGTGGAAGCTTGCCCGGAAATAAAACAGGAGTCGGTGGTGAAGTCAACATCACATTCGCGGACTGTTCTTATGCCGTTTCAGGTCTGTGATCATCTTTTTCTCAGGTTACCGACAATGGGTACACTAGTTATGTAGCCGGCTGCATAAAATCATCAACACAGGCTGCGAGTGCCATGACCCTGTTTCACGGCATGCTGCCAGCCGCTACTTGCGCTATTGCGCATTCGGTTTCCATGGAAACATCAACAACTTTCGTTGTGAGCGTCCGCGTTTGTTGATGCTGGAAACTGAAAGCGTAATAGCGCTAGCCACTAGTAGCATGCCTGCGAAACAGAGCCCCTGCCGTCAGCCACCAGTTCCTGTTCACGGTTCACCAGTGTAGGTAGCGCTGTGAGCACAGTTTTATGTAGGTGGCGCTGGGTGCAGGAGGCGGTGACAAGAGATAATGCCTGGTGCTCAATGTCCGCTCGAGAGTTGTCTGTTGTCTGTCCGGACCAAATAAAGAGACTAGTGCACTCTGTGTGCGCCGTGTCTGTGTCTGGAGTAGACACATAATTCAGGCGACTTTTGTCTTGTGAGTTATTATCATTATGCTTGTAGCAAAACGGCCAGAGCTCAGCGTGCGTGCATTGTCTGCCTCGGGAGCAGATCGCGGGCTCAGTGCTCACCGCGTGTCTCATGTAGACACACGAGACACCCGTTGTGGTCGAAAAATGGATGAGACAGCGGACAACATCTACCCTATCTGTGCTGTCTGTCTCTGAACCAGACAGCGGCCCGCACCCTGTCTTTGCTGTCTGTAGATCAGACAGCGGACAACACTCACCATGTCTGTGCTGCCTGTGTTTGGTGAAGACGCGCAGAACGGCCTCCTCCGGGAAGCTGAGCAGGGCGGGGTCCTCGCTGGAGTGTTCCTCCGTGGCCCGCATCAGGTGGTGGCGGCCCTGCCGACGGCGGAGCGAGGTCAGGGCCGGGCCAGGGAGGTCAGGGGCCGGTCAGGGCAGTCAGGGGTCACTCAGAGTCGGGGATAGTCGAGGTTCCGTTGGGGGCTAGTCAGAGGTCAGTCAGGGCCAGTACGAGCCGATCAATTTTCAAACTCACAGTCGTGAGCCGAGAAGGGGCCAGTCAGGTCATGTCTTGGGAGCTAGTGGAGCCGCGTTGAGCCTAATATAGGCGAGAAAATAGTCGGTCCGTGCCCGTTCCAGCAAAAATACTTCCAACATTGAAGGGCAATGGGACTCAGTGATGTGAATGTATGATTAATAATTATATCGTATGAATATAGAGATCCTAAGTGCTTATGTGTTTTATGTACCGCGAGGATGAAAGGTAGTTTTCGTTCAGACGGGTTACATTACGATTTCTATGAATATGGCGATAAGCCGATACAAGCACTTCATTGTAACGAATCCATGACAGATGTAAAATGACGACAAAGCTTCGATACATAAAGTACCTATCTTGATCACTGTCAATGAGATGTAGAATATTTGAAAATAGTCGGGGTCTCATTGACAAATGGTCTCATTGACAGTGATCGAGATACTTTATGTATCGAAAGCTTTGTCTTGTACAATAAACTTGAGTTCGTCATTTTACAAGCACTTCTGTTAGGAGCTGAATGTGACCAAACAGCTCCAAACGTCAGAGGTCAAGGTCACTCTCCACAGAGGCCAGCGTCACAAACAACAACAATGGCATTGTTCCCGGCATTGTTTCGGCTCCCTCAGCCGTAGCTCGCCTTGTGCCCCTTAGTGTGTAAATGTTTTATTAAGTTGAAGTTAGCCGTTATAGTGGTCTCCGTCAGCTAAGAGTGCCGTCACATATATTTTCGTTTTTTGGGGGTAATATGCCACGTCTCATTTGAGTGAAGATTGAAGGCATCGTGTATAATTTCAGTTGAATACATTTTTAGCTTTCAGCAGGCCAAAAACGTTCTGCGAACTCTTAACCCTCGCCCGCACATGGGGGGGGGGGGGGGTGGTTGCCACCCCCCCAGGTAGTCTTTCTGCTCTGCACTCAACATTTTTAAAGCTAGAAGGCTGATTTTTCGTATAGCTGCTCCTCTATCCTTTCTTGATGTCCACTGAAAATTTCAAGTTTCTGTGATTTTTGGTTTCGGAGATATGACCTTGTTTTTCAGGTCATGTCATGACCCAAATGGCCAATTCTCAACATCTTGCGTTTGCCATGGGCCTTATGAGCTTTTGACACCCTGATTTCGGCCTTTTTTGCCAGTCTTACCTCCTACCTATCATGGAACATGTTGTTCGACGATGTACAGGGGTCAAGGTCAGGGTCAAGGACGGTCAACCTAGGTCACCTAAGATAATTGCGTTTTAGGCAAGCTGAATTTACTTTTTTTGAAGTTTTTTGACTGCATTTTTGGTAAAAGCTTCTCAGATCATGATTTCATGTAATATGGACCCAAAAACAATCGGTGCACACATCAGTATACACACAGACACACACAGACATACAAACACATATAATTGACCTTGACCTAACTTGACCTGAAATGACCTCAGCAGCAAAATTCTGGTCGGGTAGTGTGACAAAGAGGTTCTAGCTGCCTTGGCACCAGAAAACAGCATCGTCATCGGTAATTGATAAGCAGCACACTTGATATCCAACGGTGACCCAAAACAGCAACATTTTTTAGTTTGACCTGACCTGGAAGGTCAATGACTGACCTGAGAAGGTAAAACTGGGTATCATTGGATTCGTCTCTTCCCAAAGAATCTTTTTGGTCTTTACTGCTAAGCTCTATCTCCAACAGGAACGAAATGGCGCGGGGGGTGGCAACCCCCCCCCCCCCCCATGTGCGTTCTAGGATGGGAAAATGGCATGTGCGGGCGAGGGTTAATGTCGACGGGAAAGCCTGAAGCTCGAAGCAGATAGGCAAGCCATTATCCCTCAGGGAGACTTATGCATGTAAGTACTTCAACGACGGTGAGCCATCGATAACAAACAAAATAATCAATGGTCCCTCGTAACTCGTAAGTTAAGTAATGAAATCGTTGAGGACTGCACACGGCGCAAACGAAACATGACCATTGACCAATGCCACAACATCAGTATTTTTCATTTCATTTTTAGTGAATTCTCATGTCGGAAGTTATCTTGAAATAACGCTCTAGGATGAAGAACAATAACACTCGCGAATTCAGTGTAACTAAAAACAGCAGTTGCTGAGCGCCGATGCTTTATTTGTATCAATCGTTGCGACATGATACCACCGTGCCGAGTCAAGTCGGCTGAGGTTTTGGACGTTCACGCCTTCTTTGTTGGTCTGATCTTCATGGTCGTGGCGTTCAGGCAGTACTCTTCCCTCCATTCTCGCCACATGATGCCCGTCCAGTCACACGATTCGGAAAGGTACCTGCCGTTCAGGTTCGAGGTGTAGCAGTAATAGTACCACCAGGCTCCCTGCCACTCAGCTGCACAGCTCTCATCCCAGGCGTCATGGTCCCGGTCAAACGTGGAGAATTGCATCCCGTTGTGGTAGCTTAGACTGTCCCCGGCGTTTCCCGCGTAGTCGGTAAAGTCCAGTCGGTAGCCGTCAGCCTCGGACGCGATGGTGAACTTCTGGTAGGTGGCGTACCTCGTTTGCCCGTCCCAATCCCAAAGATCGACCCGCAATTCGTACTCGCGATCCTGCTGGGAGGTCAGCTGCCAGAGGTAGTGAAGTCCCCACCAGAACTCCCCAACGAAAACTCCCAGGCCCCACTTGTAGGCCTCCCAGTCCTGGAAGAAGTCCTGCCTTGGTGTGATGTCGGCTCTTCTTTGGAAGACGGTCCATCCCTCGCCGTCGTCCATGTCACAGTAGGCTGGGGTCGGAGTCACACCATCAGGTTTGATAAAGTATGCCCCGCTGGGGGATCCTAAGGGCACGTCACTGCAGTCGCGCACAATCGAATCTTCCTGCGGTGTACCGTCAGTAGCAGACGTCAGCTCAGAGGTCATCTCAGAGGTCAGGTCAGCGGCTGAACCAGAGCTGCACATCAGCAGCCAGAGGACGTTAATCACCACTGGGAGACATGACGGTAGCTTCATGGTGCTGCACAAGGAAGCATGTGTTCACCTCAGAGGACCAGTCGCCTTCACTGAAGGTGTGGTCGCCGGTCGGTCCGTCCGTCTTATACCGCCTCACAGGTGGCTGGCTCACATCCACTACCGTCATGATGTGTGACCCAAAACAACTGTTGCAACAACATTATCTATCTTTAGTGAGCCGGGAAAGAACCAACCAGGAAAATAAAACAGACTTATCGGAATTCACAGCGCGAACGCTCCCTCAAATAAGTTACAGCTTTTAGACGGAGGGGTTCATGAAGGCATCAATAAATCTATATTACTATTTGAGTCTCAGCTCGATCGGGTCGATAGGGAGCGCGTGGTGCGTGCCCAAAAAGTGCAAATTCGCGTCATAGACTTTACATGTATAAATCGGCGTGCGAAATCGGGAGAAAACGGCTAATTTTGGCCGACACTGGTCCGGTTCCGGCGCAATATCTTGGTGACCAGGGGTCCGACCGGCACGGGGAAAACAGCATCGTGTAGATAATTGAATGGGCAATTGAATGGTGTGCGATGCAGTGGATGGCACGTGCCACGTGCACCGGGGAGGGCACTTTTGTTGAAAAATTGCGGTTTTGGGCGGATTTTGGAATTGATTTTATTTTTAGGTGACAGTTAAATGGAGCGAGTTGAATCAACGCCTATTTGCAAGAGAAAGGTACCGCCTCTCATATAAAAATTGTGAAAAGCTGATTGATCCAAATCAAGGTGGTGCAAATCACAGGAGAAAATGGTGTTTGTCAATTTTGTGCCAGTTTATTAATCACACGGGGTTTGCTGCATAACCTGATACCTTTGGCAATTGAATATGGTACCATTGGATAGAGCATTCAATTCTGTCCAATATTCACTCTTCATTTTCGCATGATTAGCAACAGTATCCTTAAAAAATGTAAATGTTCCAAACCATTACATTGTCATTTTTAGCGAAATTCATCGATGGCCCTCAAAAGACTTCACGCCAGTTTTCGAATCATTCTTAAGTAGAACGCATGATAATACGACAGGGGCACCTCGATGCGATGTATCTTTTTTGTTTTGGCCATCAAAAAGCATTCGAACGAAATGGATACCAACCAAATCGACACAGACCAACCCAATACCCACGGGTCACAAATAACCCTTCTTCGCGTTGCGGAGCACGCGGGTAACCCTAGTATTTACCTATACGTAAAAGGCGATATGTTATGAAAGTTGATGCTTTGGTTTGGTTCTTTGGTGTAGGCCGTGGTGGAGATTGGAATAGTCAGGGATAACATGAACGAGTTATGTTGTTGCTGCTGCTGCTCCTGCTGCTGTCAGTGTTGCGAATGTACATATTCTGCTGTCGGTAGTTACGAATGCGACTTAGCATGAGCTGATAGACTGGGCATTAGTATTCCAGCGAAAACACAACTCTGTTTAGTAACACTGACGGCGTCGGGTATAATGAGCATGTGCAGGCTTACCATAATAACAACGGTCTTCAACCAAAACGACGCTTCAACTTCGGGGTATCAGTATGGGTCCGAGAACAATTCTGCGAGTTAGCGACGCCATAATAAATAATCGTGAGTGCGCCGTCCCCCCCGCGTCCCCTCCCGTCTCACATGACTTGTCCGGGCGGCGATACGCATGTCACCCCCCCCCCCCCCACCCCTCCCCTCCCCTCTGCACTGAGGCGTCGCGTGCCGGCGTTTTCACTCTCTCCTCCTTCGAGAGCGTCTCGGACGGCGGAGCACCCGTGGGTGGCGGTGCCGGCTCGTTCCGGTCGTGACACTGTGTCACGAGTCACGGAATTCTGATACCGTGCCACCTTCACGAAATGTCTGACACCATGGTAGAGGATCCCCGCGTCGACCGACCGTGAGGCAGTGCTCAATGGACGACTTTCGGTTGGAGAGAGAGAGAGAGAGAGAGAGAGAGAGAGAGAGAGAGAGAGAGAGAGAGAGAGAGAGAGAGAGAGAGAGAGAGAGAGAGAGAGAGAGAGAGAGAGAGAGAGAGAGAGAGAGAGAGAAGAAAGCGAGAGGAGGAAAAGAGGTGGCGAAGAGCGAAAAAGAAAGAGGTGGAGCACGACCGGTGATGTCGATCAGAGGAAAAGGAGAGAGGAAGGAAAAATAAAAGTACCTATCGAAGGCCATAGGCGGCGGAACGGGGGGGGGGGAGGGGCACCGGGGCACCGTGCCCCGTTGACTTTGCCATTTCAACATTAGACCTATGGGCGTTGCATGGAAAGAATGGGACCAAAAGTCGGCAGTGCCCCCCCCCCCCCCCTTAATTGAAGGTGTTCCGCCGCCACTGTCGAAGGCTCGCGACACAGTATTATCAACTGCTGATCTGTTGGTGGTTTTAACAAGTGACATTTAAGATGTCAATATTTACCAATAACCACAATTACCCAGCCCATTTATGAGAAACACGAACTATGCCTGGTGCTCACGCCCACAATTTTCCCCTTTCTATACCAGACTCCGAAATTTATTGGCCGATCACGCGGTTACCTATTGGTCTAGACAGGCCGTGTTTCGGAGACAGCTGAACACGCTCAACTGGGCGTCACGAACGCTGATTGGGTGACACACCGTGACGTCACGTGTCATTTAGTGTGACGTCACGAGCCACCGTCCTGAGGCACATCGTTACTTCTAAAAGTAGAAATAGCAAAGGAATGATGCGACACAATTAGCGGAGGACTCATGAATTTTTAGTCGCTCGAGCAGCATGTCTGTGCCTATCAGGCTTCTCAGGACTTATCAGGATTATGTGTCGTTTATGGCGGCAATGAGCCAGAGTTTCAGCGAGGCATCATATGCTTTCTGTCACTTCGGCATGCACGGGATGTGTGCGCGCCTGTATGACTACATGGGTCATCCCGAAATCCACTGATCACGTGACTACCATCGCGCCCCGCCCCGACCTCTATCCTGTCTGGATCACGTGACCACAGGGCGTGACGGAGGCCGGATCACACCGGATCCTGTCCCTCCCCCTCCCCTCGGGCCCTCTGCCCCTCTGCCCCCCCCTTGCCCCTCTGCCCCTCATGACCTGCCTGCGCATCAAATGCAGGGTGGAGCGCGACGGAAATAGCTCAAAATCGTACGCTTTGAGTGACGTGCCGACGTGCATGATTTGATGCAGCATGATGGGCAATAGACAGCAGACATGGAGTCTTGGACAATAGATAGAGGGCAAAGACAGGTGCTATCGAGACACACGAAACATCCAGCCGGCAGAGCATCGAGGACTGATCGAGCACATACCGTCCACTGAGCGAGGAAGACTACTTGTGGTACAGCGAGTGGAGATAATATTTCAAGTAGAGATGGAAAAGCGTAGACATGGAACTTTCTTTTAGTGTGCGCTTACTGGCTTAAGTGAGACTGTTGAAAAAAGCAAGCAGTTTGAATGACACGCATGCCTTTTTACTAATTGAGGAATGAAAATCCTTCAGCTTCTTCGTAACGGGTTTAGCAACAAAGGTTTCTTTTCCGTCTGCTTGGGTGAAGCTAAAACGTATGCTAGTCAGTCCTTCTTTTTACCGTATTGAAGACATACAAAAGATGCATAGACTAACACCCACGGTATTTTTGTTTCAAACTTATCATTTGCTTTCACACGTTGCGTAATGGCAAAGCAATGCTAGTGCAGGCGGATTTCCATAAATCCGTATTTCGGGCTCACCCCTTGCAGTTACGCTTCCTGCACGTCCTAATTAAACGAGCGCGCAGTCCGTGTAAGCCAATGCTTCGTGAAAGCCAAACATGTCGATTTGGCGGGCGCCGGGCGACTCGGGGCAGGGCCCGGCTGGGCCCGCACACATGAAGGTCATTAGTGAAACGATGCGTCGATAATTTCTCTGATTTCACGCGCTACGTATTGCTGGGCGTTTCACGCTGAAAGAACGGTTGTCTGTTTGAGCTGCTCGCTCGGCCCACGGAGTAGGTAAGTTCAAGATTTTAGGTCCCATGGAATGACGACTCTTCATTGTTAAAATAATAAATAGTTCAACATCGTTCCAAATGTTCAAGCCCGAAGAAAAATCACGCAAAAAGTTTATAGAGTAGCGCTTAGGAACATCAACCAATAGCGAAGCGTTTATTACCTTCACTCGTCACGCCTCAAGATTGTAAACGCTCGAACAACAACGGAGGGTGAAAATGACAAGCTGTCACAAACTGTGCAGCGATAAGGGCGGATGTGGTGCTACAACAGCGACATCAGCTAGTGCTACCCCAGCTGCGACGCGGCGATTGCTGTTGGTGGTGAACCGCCTGTGGTCGGTCTGACCGCCACCTCGGAGACGCACAGGAAAGCGTCCCCACTCGCGTGACCTCACGGCACAACAGCTTACAAGGACGCGTGCAGGCTTTCGTTACAAGAGAGCACTGCAAAAACCACCTCTCGCTACGGCAGACTTCCGCTGTGGAACGGATCTAACAGAGTGTCAGGAGAGTCATCCCGACACGGAATGGTGCAATGGCTTTGGATGGGGATGGGGACGGGAGCGTGACCTGAGCGTGCGCCGTGCACCTCCTGTTGGTGCCATCACCAGCGCACCGTGGGAGGTGCACGCAGTCACTTTCACGAACCGCTTGCAACAGCCTGGAGAAATTCACGATCAACCATTATGACGATCGGCGCTTCTCACATTTCATAACGTTTTCAGAGACCATAAAGAATAGGCAACTGATGGTAGCATAGATAACTGAATGTGCAACCTTTCTCGGGATATTTTGCAGCGATTGCGTATAATGGTTCAATTGCATTTTTTAATCAGTTATATTGCCTGTAGGTGTATTAAAATATGGAACGTCGCTCAATAAAATGATAAGACTGAACTTTTCACCCACCTTTAATGTGCCATTCATTTTGTCCTTGGCCTCTTATTGTATGTGCTAATTCATCATAAACACAGCCCTCATTGTTGTATCTTTTTGTT